GAATTTAGAATAAAAACAACATGAGCCTGTAAATCGAGAAAAAAAAAGTTCAAAGCACTTTGTCTTCTAAGCAAAGTCTCCTGCTGGTCCTGCTGTTCCTGTGTGTTCCTGCATTGTGGGTACCCTAGGTCTGCCTGTTGATTAACCCGGCAGGGTCCCCAGGCCCCCGAGCCTCTGGGCCCCCATCCCCTCTGGTTCCAGAGCTCACCCCTCAGATCTTCAACCACTATCCTGTCCTCCAGCTCCGAAATCTGGGAGGCCATTCCCAGCAGCAGCTCATTCACTGCCTGGGCACTGTTCAGATTGGGGTTCTGGAATAAATGACATACTCAGACAGGTTCTCAGTTCTCTCCCCAAAGCCTATTCCCTCTCACTCTGGACCACTGTAGCATCGCAGGACAAAGGGCCAGTCCTAGACTCTCTTGAGTCCCCAGGTATTTTTCTGATCTCTCCACCCTTCATCTCCCACCACCCTGGAGCAGCAACACCCAAGAACTGGAATCACTGCTTTTCCCAGCCTATGTAACAAGACTGACCCTGACCTTCCCCTTACCCTGACCCTAGGCTGACCTCTCGAATCCAGTAGCTATTGCAGACCCTCAGAGCTGGGGAACTGCCAAAATCCTTGTTCACGATATTCTGGAAATGACAGCTGGCATTCCTGAAATGGATAATCAAGGATGTACTATGGGAATTCAGGGAAGAAGCTGAGATGGCGTTGAGTGGGGTGAGGGACTAAGAGGGACTAAGGACCAGGACTGAAGGGTGGCCCCAGCACCTTCCTAGAACAGAGTAGGGATTTGACAGTGTGTGTGGATTGAAGGTAGAGGTCGCTCTCAGTACACACAGGGAGGGAAGGGAAGAAGGGAAGAGGGTGACCCAGCTGCTGGACAAATCCTGCTCTCAGCAGCTGAAGTTCAGCCATTAGGAGGAGCTGGGGATATTTCTCTGTTCAGACTGAATCTCCCATCCCAGGGTCCTATTCCAGAGTCCCAAATTCTGCTTCCCTTCCACCGTTAAACTGTGGAGGATATAAAAGGCCACAGGCCCCCAAGACGGTTAGTTCATCACTTCTGCTAGCGCTGTGCCTCCCCTACAGGCCAGCCTCTACCTTACCTCATGTAGACGCCAGGGGGCACCATTGTGGAGAAGAACTGCTCAGAGGCCGCCAGGAACTCCGGGGAGATGCTGGGGTCCAGGAAAGGGCGGTACTCTGCCCAAGGTGGGGTAACAAGAGAAATAGGCTTCTTACCCCCACATCTTCCCAACACAAGCATCCACTTGTCTTCTTTCCCCTATGGATTCTGACCCCCCAACTCTCAGCCCAGGTGTCCCCCCCCCGCCCCAGCCCCCCCCCCCCCCCGCAACATCCTCACCTGTATATTCCGGGGGTGTTTTCGACAGAAAGCTGGGCAGCCACTCATACAGAGCGATGTTCTGAGGGTCAGAGAGAGGGGAAAGGTGAGGCCAGCGCTGGAGCTGCCAGGCTGGGAGGAATCTGAGCCCAGGGAAGGCTTAAGTGAGAGATGAGGACCAGGCAGGGGCAGGCACGAGGGAGGTCAATCAAACCGGAGAAATGAGGAGGCGTGTCCCCCACAAGGAACAGGGGATTTGAGAGGGGGAGGAAGGGAGCTAAATAATAATCACAAGCGAAACCTCATGTCTAAGTAGCGCTTTGCGTCCTGATCATTTTCAGGGTCTATTCCTAGACGTTAGCTTTCTGGGGAGGGGTGTCCTCCTGGAGAAGGGCGTTTCTGGGTGGGAGTTGTGCAAGGATAGCTGGCCCTGCGGGCGAGCGGAGTCTCGGTGGACCAGGACGTGGGGGAGGCGCTGACCTGATAGGTGGCGATGACCCTCTTGCGCGCGTGCTGGAACAGCTCCTCGTCCCCCCAGCTCGGGTGCTCGCGGGCCAGCCTCTGAGCGCACAGGTTGTGGTAGCGGAACCAGAGCAGGCCCAGCGCCTGCACGAATGGGTCGCGGTTGCCTCGCTCCGCCCCGAAGGCTGTAGGCGACGTGGGGACACAGGGGAGGAGACGAGCGGCGGTGTGACCCACAGGAGCCCAACCCCGCAGACCCCAGCCAGCCCTCCACCGAGCCCGGCCCGCGGCCTCACCGTACAGCCCCTGGGACCCGCGCTGTCCGGTGGCGGGGTCGGGCGCGGTCCACATGAGCAGGGGGTCCTTCGAGTCCCGGGGGAAGGCGGGGTCGGGCCCGGACGCCAGCTGCCCCCCAGAGAAGCTCCGCAGCTCGTCGCTCCAGGAGTGCGAGGAGCCATAGATGGCGCTGCCGTCCAGCCAGCCCGTCACCTCGTTGGTCTGCGGGGCAGCGAGGGGTCGGGCAGCCGAGGCGGCTAAGGGAGGGCCAGGCCCAGGCGGGGTCCGTGGGGGTGGGGTGGGAGCCTCTCCCGCCCGGCCCTGTCGTGTCCCCAGCCCAGGACCCCGCCTGCCTCGGGTCCAGCGCCCCGCCCCACCGCCTGCCTCATCTCACCAGGTCCCGGGGATTGTTGGGGCTCAGTCCGGTTTTGGGGTCCCAGCGACTCCTCTGGAAGGGCAGCACCACGTCCCCGCTCCGGTTGGGGTCGAACACGGGGTCTCCCGGCGGGATGTGGATGTTGAGGAACTCTGCAGGGCAGCCGGGTCTCTCCACACTCACCAGGTCGGAGAGCACGTGGTAGCCTGCAGGCAGTGGGGTGCAAGCTGGTGAGAGTCTCCTCTCCCCACAGCCAGGCGGACTCCAAATTTCCCAAGAGCGAAAGGGCAGGATGTTTGTTTCAATCTCTGACACCAGCTCTGCGGGTTTTTTCTATTCTGCAAAGTGGCTATATAGCACCCTCCCCACCCACCTCATAACATTATTGTGAGAATCAGAATAATATAATTAATGTAAGGGCTCCCCCAAACCAGTCCCCCATGTCCCAACAGATCCTGCCTTCCCCTCCTTCTTGAAGGGAAAGAGGATAAAATCCTATTGTGAGGAGAGCTGTGTCAGGGGACTCAGCTCCTAAGAACTATACGGGGGTCCAGTGGCACTCCTGGGTTTGGAGTAAGAGGTAAATGAAAGATTAGGGGGGCAAAAATCCCTGAATCGACGCTCCCAAATCTCCGAGATGAAGAACGGCTCGAAGCGCAGCTTGGTGTGGGGAGGAGATGGCTGGGGTGGGGGGGCGGTCTCTGATGGTCTCCTGTGGACTGCAGAGGGGCCTCAGAGCCCCTCTCCCCAGGCACTGAGCTAAGCGCCAGGTCAGTCCCAGTGTTTTCCCACTTTGCCCTCACCAAAGAAGACCCCCAGCACGGTGCGGTTTTGGCGGGATGGCAGCCCGGCTCTGCCCTGCATGGCCGCGTCGCTGAGGCGGCGTGGGTTGGGCAGCAGCGGCTCCTCCAGCGCCTGATACACGCCGTCCGCGTAATTGGCTGGTACAAGGCGCTGTAGACGGTAGCCTGCGGGAAGCAGGGAGCGGGGCTCGGTCAAAGCACTCCGTTCCCAATGAGCCTACAAACTTTGCCCTACTCCTCCCTCAAAGCCCCCACTCCCACTGAGGAGACCCCTTCTCCCCAGGGTCTCCTGGCTCCAGGAGCGCATAGGATCTCGCTGCGCCCGCAGGCAGCCCGGCGGCTGGCGACGCGCTCTCTCCGCGTCTCGGTGCCGGGTCTCCCGTGGCCCTGCCCTCCACTAGCCACCCTCGTCGTCCCACGGGGCCACAGGACGCACCGGCAGCGCCACGCTGGTGGTGCCTCAGGTTGTTGAACCAGCCATCATAGCGCTGCACTTCCCAGGTTAGAGAGGGTGCGTTCTGGCTGCCTGTGGGTCAGAGAGTGGTGCCCTCAGCGCTAGCCTCCCAGCGACACCCTCGGGGACCCGACAGCCTCGGCCTGTGCTTCTCCGGCTCTCCGAGTGCCCCCAAGCCGACCCCAGTGGCGGTGCCTGCGCGGCATGGGAAGTTTCCTATACTGATGAGCCCTGCAGCGATCTTCTAGCCTTAGGGAACCGCTTCCTTGCACCTCTCCCTTCCCCCAACCCGAGGGCGTACTGGATGACATCTTGAAGCTAGGGGCGCCTGGTACTTACCTGCTGGTTCCAGGGGTACAGTCAGCAGAGCTCCCAGGAGCACCAGTGCCTCTGGCCTCGCGCGGAGCATGCTGACGCTGCGGCCCGGGGGATGGAGGGGATATGTGACGGACAAGGAGCTGGCGTCCTCCTCGCCTATAGCCGGCACAGGGGAAGCGGCGCCGGCTGTTTCCACTTCTGCCGTGAGGTTTTTAGGAGCATCATCCAGGACCCGAACCCGCACACCACTTTTTTTAGGACACCTGGCAGCCCTGTAGGCACTGATGCTTGTCTCCACTTTCCACCCCGTTGGAGAACTAACCCCAACGACAGGAACCACAGGGCATAAATCCTCTGGGGCTTGTCAGTCCGCGGCAGGACTTTACCTCCAGCCTCCCAGGGCCCCCCAGAGCCTCGAATCCCCACCTGCAAAATCCCCCAGGAGCTGCTTCTCCCAGAGGAGGCAGGGAAGGGAAGGGAATGGGCTAGTGACCTGGGAGCCCCAGACCTACAGGCCCTCCTACTCCACAATGAACGCCTGTGTATGGACACGAGGGATGGGAAGATCAGGCCCAAAGCCCAGGTCCAACCTTGGTTTAGGGCCTCTGTCGGGGTCAGAAGTCTTCTTTCCTCTCGGAATCCTCAGCGTCCCTGGCTGCACGCTCACCCTCCTCTCTGGTCCTCTGAGGCCAGCCGCGCGGTGTCCACTCAGGCCAGACCAGTGCCAGGAGTGAGCATCGGGACCCGGAGCTCGCACTCTTGCTATGGAGGAGGGGCTCCTTCATTTGCATAGCGACCTCCGCCCCTCATTTGCAAGAGCTCTTCCCGCTTGGACGGCTGCCCAGCGCTAACCTCCTCTGGGCACGCTGCCTACACTGCTATAAAAGGGGGGTCCCAACGCAGAACAACCCGCAGACAGCGAACGTAACTGGCTACAACCAGTGAGAAATAATTCTACTCTCCCGCCTACCCAACTCCGCCCGGGCCAGCCCAGGGCACTTGAGGGCCGCCAGCCGCTGTGCTTCATTAGGGGCGAGCCCTGGGGCTTGGACTCGACCAGCCCGTCAAGTCTGGTCCTCGCACGCAGCGGGCAGGATAAAGAAAAGTGCTACCCGGGCTTGGACGCCAGGCACGCGCTCTCCGGGTTTGAGAAGACCCAGCTCTCCCGCTTGCCCGCCCACCCGCGCGCCCCGCTCAGCCGGGTTGCACCATGACTCTGTGGAACGGTGTGCTGCCTTTCTACCCCCAGTCCCGGCATGCCGCCGGCTTCAGTGTCCCGCTGCTCATCGTCATTCTGGTGTTCTTGGTCTTGGCCGCCAGCTTCCTGCTCATCTTGCCCGGGATTCGTGGCAACTCGGTAAGGGGGTGCTAGGAGCTCAGGTCTGAGGGTGGAGGGCATCTGGGCAGCTTGTCTCTGGAGGACCCAGGACAGGTAAGACGGCCCCAAGGGCCTCCATGAATAGTCAAACTGAAGCATTGAACCAGATAAGCATAGGTTGAGCAGCCCAGAAGTCTTGTGCAAGCAACCCCTTCCCAAGGACAGGGAGAGGTCCCATAAACAAACCCTAGAGACTGAACCCAGCTGGATCATTCAAGAGGATGCTGCAGAGAATGAGTGCTCAGCCCAGTAATCCTGGGGCCGATTCCAGTCTTCATGTGTTGCGAGGGCCTCTGGCCTCTCCCCAGACTGCAGCTTCACTCCCATCCCACCCTCTGGGTGATGACCTTCAGACCAAGAGGACAGAAACCTGCAGTTCAGACTGCTGTGTTTTACCTGTGTGCTGGGTTGGGATGCCTCCATCCTAAGGACTCAGAGACTCCCACACAGGACTTAAAGTTGTAGCAGACTGGGTACTTGTCCTCAGATTCCCTTCTCTCCCAGAGCATAAGTTGTCTGTTTTTCAAGTACAGAAGGACCTAGCCTCCCTGAGTCTTGATCTTTGTTGGTTTCCTGGGAAAGTGGTGCACCTAGGCTGCGTTCCCACCTCTTCTACTTGAGACCAGACCCTGGGGCCTCCCTCTCCTGGGGGAGGTGACCCCTGCCTGCCTTGCACTTCTGGACTCACTGAGCCTCACCACAGCAGTGACCTGAGCAGAAGGCTGGACCTGGACCAAGAGCCAGATAGGTGGGGGAGTGAAGGTGGTGGGAGAGAACAAGACCAAAACAGCCCAGTTGCAGGGTAGACTGGGAAATGGGGCTGGAGAGGTGGATGTGCATGGCCAGAAAAACATCCTAAATTCCAGTGGCTCAGAGGGATTTGCAGGAAAAGCAAAAACGTCAGCTTCAAAACGTCAAGAATCTAACTGGGGAAAAGGTGTGGGGCAAGAGGGGGCAGTTGCAGGGGCACTAAAGATCTGGGTGGCATGGGGTCCAGGGAGGTCTAGGGCACTCTCGTTGGGCAGTACCCAGGCCTGACCAGGGTGCCTGTTCCTGCAGCGCTGGTTCTGGTTGGTGAGAGTTCTTCTCAGTCTGTTCATAGGCGCAGAAACTGTGGGTGAGTGTGTGGTGCAGCCAGTGGGGAGCAGACCTGGGGTGAGGAGGGAGGCGGGCAGAGGGCACCTGGGGAAATGGAGAACTGGGTTTGGTTTCCTGCTCCCTCTTCCCATCCTCCAGCTCTTTCTAGTGCCCTCTCTTCCGCCCTTACCATGTATACTATATTGGACCCCTAGCCCCTTCATCACTCTGCACAGTGTCCAACCTCCCACTCTCCCAATTCCCTCTCCCGACTCCTCTCCCTAACCCTCCCCACACCGAGTGCCTCTCCCCACAGCCTTGCACTTCAGCGCAGCATGGTCAGTGGGTAGAGTGAGCACCAATACGTCCTACAAGGCCTTCAGCACAGCGCGGGTGCAAGCTCACATCGGTTTGCACGTGGGCCTGGATGGAATTAATATTACTCTCACAGGTAAGGAGGCTGGAACGAAGTGAACTTCTGGGGTTGGCAAACCCCATGGGTGAGGAGTGTGGCAGGGGCAGCGGGAGGACGTCTTAGATCCCAAAGGCTCAAATCGCTTTTGGTCCTCATGGATTTGTGTTTTCCCCCAACCACTGCCAAACCCATTTCTCTCGCGCCCCCACTTTCTATCTGAATCCGTTTAGTTGCTGGGTCCTGGGCTGTGCGCAGCCTCATGACCCCGGCGCCCTCCGTAGGGACCCCAGTGCAGCAGCTGAACGAGACCATCGACTACAACGAATTTTTCCCCTGGCGTTTCGGCGAGAACTACGCCGCGAAGTACGCGGAGGCACTGGAAAAGGGGTTGCCGGATCCAATTCTCTACTTGGCGGAGAAGTTCACCCCGAGCAGCCCCTGCGGGCTCCATAGGCAGTACCGCCTGGCGGGACACTACGCCAAGGCCACGCTGTGGTGAGCGCTGGAGAAAGGCAATGTGCGCGTGTGCGTGGGTGGCGTGTGCGGCAGGGACGTGTGAGCCGGAGGAGGTGAGCTGCAGTTAGAGGCGAGGTGAGAATCACTGCCTCGCGGGTCAGAAAGTCACAAGGTGCGCACAGACCGTTGGAATCCGGGAAGACCCAGCAGCCGCTGGAAGCCAGCTATCCCCCTCGGGGGTTCCCCTGCGCCTCCGCCATCCCAGCCCCGGGCTTTGGTTCTGGGGTAGGGACAGAGAGGAAGCGGGACTGTGGGAACCCCAGGGGGGCTGGGAGAATCCGGCTCACGGCGCAGCTGGTCCCCACCCCCGCAGGATGGCGTTCTGCCTCTGGGTCGTCTCCAACGTGCTGCTCTCCATGCCGGCCCCGGTCTACGGAGGCCTGGGGCTCCTGCTCACCGGCGCCTTCGAGCTCTTCTCGGTCTTCGCCTTCGCCACCATCTCCAACGTGCCGCTCTGTCCGCTCCACCTCGGCTCCTCCGCGCTCATCACTCACTACGGTGCCGCCTTTTGGGTCACGCTGGCCACCGGTGAGGAGTGAGGAGGCGGCCCTGGGCAGCTGGGGGTGGGTACGGGGTTTATACGGGTGCGCGCCTTCCAGTTTACAAAATGAGTTCACGTATACCGTGTAGTTTGCCCCTCTCAATAGTTCGTAGAGGCACGCAGTTATGCCCGTTTTACAGATGAGGGGAGGGGGTTCGCAAGGGTTCGGTGTCTTGCCCCAGTTAGCACGCGAACCCGTGTATCGTGTAATCCAGATTAGAGGTCTTTCTGCTGGGTGTGTGTTTGTGTGGGGGGCAGGGGGGAGGAAATGTGAGAGGTAGCCTGCAATAGACGGAGCGGGGCAGGCCGGGTTCTGTCCCGGAGCCTGACCGCCCCCTTTCCTTCCGTCCACGCCGCCGCAGGCATCCTGTGCCTCCTCCTCGGAGGGGCCGTGGTGAGTCTCCACTATGCTCGGCTCAGCGCTCTTCGCACCTTCTTGGACCAAAGCGTCAAGGACTACGGAAGCCCGGCGAAAGGGAGCTCGCCTCTCATCCTCAAAAACCCACTGCATAAGCAGTTCGGAGCCTCGGATTTAACAATCAGTACTAAGCTGTGACGACGATTCAACCTTGGTCTCCGACCCCGCCTCGGTCCCCCGCAGGCCGAGGAACGGCGCGTGCCGGGCCTGGGCGGGGGAACTTCGGGACCCGCACTGCGCTGCGGGCACCGAGGGGAAGGCGGGCGGTCTCACATGTGCCTCCTGCACCCCGGGAGTCTCCCAGGGTGAGCTGTAAATAAATTCTTTTTCCTTTTGTTTTTTAAAAACTTTTCCGCATTAATTTCCACAGCTTCTCCAGGCTCCTGGGAGATACGCGCCCTCGGGAGACTTCGTTGGGCTGGAGGCAGCCTAGTACACTCTCTTTCTCTGCCTCAGCACTATTCCGGATTCTCTCAGTTTGGAGAATCCAGAGTAACCCTGGAAAGGCTCTGGACGAGGGGCGCCCTCTAGTGAGCCCAGAGGGGAACCGCCCGGAGCCAGCATCTTCCTGAGCCTTTCAAGGTGCGTGGTTGGTGCTAGTGACCACGTGAGTCACCCTCCGCTGGCCTAGCTGGGTGGGCTAGGAAGAAATGGGGTTCGGGGTTTATTCACCAACTCCAGTTTATTCACTAAAGGGTGGAGTCTGAGGCCCAAGGTAGATGTCAGCAAGGCATAAAAATGTAAATCCTGGGACTATTTTAGGTCCTTGGCAAGTCCTACCATCTTAGTTGGCAAATTTGAGAAGTGAAGCTCAAAGAGAATGTGGCGCAGTTGATTAATATTAGACCTGGGATGAGAAGTTTGGTTTCTTTTCCCTCCCAATGTTGTCTTTCATTGTACTGAGAGGTCATACAAGTTGGAGAAGTAAAGAACAAAACGGACCCAGGAAAAAGGAAGATGAGAGGTACAGGGGGATGATGGGGACCAGAGGAAAATCACACTGTAAATCTCCCCCCATACAGACACATGTCATTATGTGGGTGAAGTAGGGTTTCAGTAAGTGGTACCTCCAAGAGGCAAAGCATCAAGGAAGGCAGGGCTGCTGTGCAGAAACAGGGGAGCCCCATTTGGTCTTACCATGGCCACAGGGTGTAAGGGTAAGGCCATAGACCCAGCGTCTGTTCAGCCCCTTAGGGCTTTTGTTTTGCTTTGTTTTTTAACATCAATAGGCACAGCCTCCTTTTTCTACTCCACCTCCAGATTCCAGCTGGGGGCCTCATACAACCCATCCCTCAGGCAGTTTGGGTGGTTTATGGGGCTCCGATGAGTTGTGGAGCCAGATGGAAGTCCTAGTGGCCACCACGGAGAGGATCCTTAAGGAGCACAGTCAGGCTCTCTGGGGTGCTCCTCCTTACAGCATGTCTCAGAGGAAGCCTCTAACAGCGGAATGTCCTGGGGCTCGGGACTCTCAGCTGTGGACTGGTAGCGGGGGCTCAGGAATCCCCCTTCCTCGGGATTCCACTCCAGCACTGAGCCCTCTCCTCCACTCTGGTTGAAGAAAGCCTTCAGTCTGTGGGGCTGCATCCGGTGAGCCACCGCCATGGCCAGGCCCAGCAGCACACACAGCAGTCCTGGGGATGAGATGACAAGTGCCTTAGTGATAGTAATACCCTCCCCAGGACATCTTCTCTTATGGGCATCAGAACAGCTATAAGGGAGGCCTGGCATCCCTACTTCAGGGCAACTTGGGCTCAGAGAGGTGGCTGGCTTAGGGTCATTTGGCTGGTATGACTCTGTTGTTCAGAGTTTTTGGACTCTAAGTCCAGTGCTCTTTCAATTACATCCCAGAAAAGAAAGAGAGGGAGAACTCTAAAAACAGAGAAACCCTGCAGGAAGGGCAGGGCACAGAGGAAGTGGCGTGGGAAAGGGCATGAGGGCAGACACAGTGGGGTGGAGAGGAGAATAAAACCACAGGACAATTTAAGGCTATGTGAGGCAGGAACAGAGAAGAGTTCCAGGAATGGGGGACACAGAGAAGAGTGTTTAGGGGAAGTGGGAAGGGACATGAGATTGGAAGATTTGGGAGAACCTGGGTGATGAGAGAGCCAGGGATGAGAGACGTCACAGAGACAGAGAGCAGACACAGGGGAGTAGGCACATAGGAGGCGGGGTGCAGAACTGGGGAGAGAAAACCCAGAGATGAGGGATAAGAGGGATGGGACTTTAAAGAGGGAAAAGGCATCATGGCCCCCAGAGGCAGACCCTTCACCCCACCAGCATGATGCTCCCTGACCCTCCCTCCCCGGCCTTGAGCTCTTCAGTGCCTGTCTTCAGGGTTGGGCCTCACCTGTGGCCAACGTGATCCAGAAGGCAGGCCCACAGTGAGTGTGCAGCACAGCAGTGCCCAGGTACAGGGGACAGGGTGGAGTGAGCGATGTGGCCATGGAGAAGAAGAGCAGTCCTAACAGCTGGAAGATGCCTGTGGCCAGCAGCATGTGGCCACCATAGGCTAGCACGGGCATGGACAGCATCACATTGGCCAGGAGCCAGCAGAGGAACGCCACCCTGGAGAGTCAGGACTGGGTAAAGGCTAGCCTAGGCACCTTTACCTGGAGGGGCCCAGGTGGAGGCTCAGGGACCCAAGGACACCCCAAAGATGTGAGGTAGGGACTCCTGCCCGTGGGCTTCCCAACCAAGCACCATGGATGACTGGTGCCAGCCTGTCCCACCAGGGATCTCCACGTAAGTGGAGGAGAGATGGGTAGACACCCTCCTCCTGGGTCTAGGCCAGCAGGGGCTCGGTCCCACCCTCACCACAGCATGGCCGAGGTGTAGTGTCCCGCTAGGCGATACTGGCCATGCAGGCCACATGGGCTGTTTGGGGTGAACTTCTCAGCCAGGTAGAGCACGGGGTCCGGCAGCCCCTTCTCCAGAGCCTTTTCATACTCCTCAGCATAGTTCTCACCCAAGCGCCAGGTGAACTCCTCGTTGTAATTGATGGTCTCGTTTAGCTGCTGCACTGGGGTTCCTGGGGAATGGGACAGCTGTGCTCAGCAGAGACTTATGGACCAGAGTGGGCATTTGTCTGGGTAGGGGTTCACCACACTAGGCAGAGGGACAGGAGCTGGTCTCAGTTGAGAGAAGGCAGCTTCCAAGGAATTCCTGGGAGTTTCCCTTCCTACCATCCCCCCATCCTATAGCTCTTTAAACCAAACCAACCACTGATCCCAAAGACACAGAGCAGAGCCTTCCCCTCCCTCACAGGTAAGAGCCCTCCCTTACCTGTGAGCGTGATGTTGACTCCTCCCAGCCCAACCTGCAGCCCAACGTCGACACTGATCCACTCAGAACTGAAGGCCTTGTACGACGTGTTGGTGCTGACCTGGCCCACAGACCACTCAGAACTGAAATTCACAGCTAGGGTTGGGGAGTTGGACACATGGGAACTCAGGAAAGTCTGGGCATTCCTGGCTTAGAGTCGGAGGGAGAGCTACAAGGGGACCATGTCTGTTTTGCTCATAATTGTATAACCATTAAGTAGCCCAGGGTCTGGCTCATAGTAAGTTTGCCAACAATATGTGTGGGATGGATAAATGTGTCAGAATCCAAGATTTCCCTCCATCATACTCCTCTTATCCCTCCCCCCGCCCCTCCATCTAGGGAGAGTTACTCAGGCAGCTGAGGGAGGAAACATTAACATCATAAACTGTGCTGAGCAAACACAGATAGCTTCAACATCAAGACTTTCCATATCTCCTATTGCCTAATCCCCAAAGCAAAGCAAGCAGCCCTCCTCGATTTCCTCCCTCCAATCTCCAGAGACCTTCTCCCCGAAGACATTCATTTTGACCTAATTTCCTCTGAATAAAAATGTTAGGAAGGTTGGAGAGATGCCCCAGCATGGCTTCCAGGGTACCGCACCCCTCATGGCAAGTGTAGGAGTGAGGGGATAAGGCCACGGTGAGGGAGTCATGTGGGCAGGGTCTGGAAGCCCTCCCTGAAGCAGAGGCTGCTGTGGGGAAACAAAGAGAGGAGAGGCCAGCCACTGAGGAACTAGATGGGACCGAGGCAGCTGCCCAAGTCAGCTGTGCTTCACACTCACCCAGGATCACAGCCCCGATGAATAAGCTGGTCACCACCCGCAGCAGCCAGAACAGCCTCTGAGTCACAAGGATGGGCTGGTTTAGGAAGAAGTGCCCTCCTTCCAAGTCCACCCTTCCTCTTTCCACACTTGAGGAGGGAGTTCTAAAGCTGAGGTCACTTGGTCAATTGAGATTACAGTGCCTGGCACACGACAGGTGCTAGATAATTATCTGTTGAATCAGTGCGTGGGGAGGTCTCAGCTAGGGTGGGTGGAGGGGGATGGGGGCATGGCGCTTTCTCAGGAATGGAGTCTCTTTTCTGAATCTGGTTGTAGTCAGAGAGTCTGGCCCTCTCACCTCAAGGCCAAGGTCTCCCTGGGGCTGGGGTTTCCAGGGCTGGGTTTGTTTCTCACCATCTTGCCCCGAATGCCAGGCAGGATGACGATGAAGGTGACCAGTGCAGTCAGAAAGATGGTGATGATGACGGCCAAGGCGGTGTCCATTGGGAAGGTCGGCTTGGGGCCAGCATAGAAGGGGAATGTGTGTCCAAAAGCAGCCATTTTGGTAGAGGTGTGCGGGAGAGGAGGATGCTGTGCGACAACAGTAGATGCTCATTGAGTGCTCTCTATGAGGCACAGGCACTGTTCTTGGTGCTAGAGATAAAGCAGCGAATAAACCAGAGTGAGACCCTCTTCTCTGGAGCTCACCAGACTCCACTGTTCCTGCTGCTCCACTGCTCCTCAGCCATCCATCTCCCCATGTTTTGTCTGAGAGAATGAGGGTCTTGGCAATCAGTCTCTGTTGCCCTATGCTCCCTCCCTAACTCTCAGGTCCCCTAAATCAGTGCCACCACTACCCTTGAGGCTTCTATGCTTCCTCTGGGACTATCTTAAGAAATATAATTCTCTTTTATCTCCCTCAGGCCTCTGGCACAAGCAGACAGATCACAGAACATAAAGAGTTATATTTACTATCACGTGAAGGCATAAGGGTGGAAGATGGTACAAATTACAAAAAGCTTGGTTTTCCTCCTCAGTCCCCAAAGGAACAAAGGCCAGACAGCTCTGCTATGCATATAATCCAACCACATCCTCAGTGGGCTCATTCCCAGACCTGGTACTGCCCACACTGGTCTGTCCCGCTTTCTCAAGCACACTGGCTCTTGCTCTGTCAACTCCAGAACAATCGGGCTGACTTGAGTTCAGCTTAGTAAGCACTGAAGGAGCACCTGCCCTCCACCAGGCACAGTGCCAGGGCCGGAAGTCCTTCTACCCCACACGTCATCAACAGCAGCTTTCCTCCTTGATGCAAGTTCCTGGTCCTCATTTCAGCTCACACCCTGGCTTAGCTCTTCTCTGCCTGTCCCCTGATCTCAGAGCTGCTTTGGCTCTGGCTTGTCCCTTTGCAAACAGGATTGTGGGGAAATGGTACCTGAACTTACTGTGTTTTGTTAAATATGGATAGAATGGAGTGCAAGACGTGCAATTATTTTATGTACCAAAAAGAAAGAAAGAAAGAAAAAAAGCCCCTGCCAGTTAAACCATGACAGCCATTGTTGGTAAGACGCACCTCAATTTCAGAGATGTCAAAATGTGAAGGGAAAAAAAAAAGCATCTTCCACGATCTCAGCTCTGACCATTTCCCTGAATGTGATCTGTCCTGGGGCCCTGGTTCGCCCAGGAGACACCATAATTTATAGTCTGACCAGGTAGTGTCCTTTTAAGTGATAGAGTGAAAGAATAAGCTTTGGATGTAAGCAGCTCTATGTCTGAATTCTGCCTCTGCTTCTTGCAAGTTAGTTGACCTCTACAGAGACTTGGTTTTTTTTTTATTGGGGTCCTATTGGCTTACAACACTGTGTAAATTTCAGGTGTACATCACTATATTTCAGGTTCAGGATAGACTGCATTGTGTTCATTACCGACAGTCCAGTTTTTATCTGTCACCATACGTATGTGCCCCTTTACCCCTTTCGCCTTCTCCCTGTTCTCCTCTTGTAACTACTAATCCACTCTCCTTATCTATGTGTTTGTTTGTTTATCTTCCACATATGAGTGAAATCAAACCGTATTTGTCTTTCTCTGAGACTCAGTTTCATGAAAAAATAGGAATGATAATAGTGTTTACTTCATAGCGTCATTGTGAGTATGAAATGAGATTGTGTACGTAAAGTGTTAAGAATAGTACCTGAAACAGAGTAATATCAATAAATGGAAGCCACCAGATCGGGAAGGAGTGGGTATTTCATCACTCCATTTATCTTTCTCTAATCCTTCCTGGGGAGAACCCTGGGCTGGAATCACTTCTAGGTCTGGTTCCAGTTCTTCACTGACTAATTTTGTACCGTTGGACAGGCAAACGACAACCTCCCGGGTCCTGGGTCTTAATAGAGATGAGCCACTCTTGTAAAATACTTTATAACCTTCCTTTATAATAAATATAAGAATGATGCTAATATGTGATCCTGACAAAAATACATTACACTACTATTATTTACTTATATTGCAAATATTTGTTTTTGACGTTCCAGCATGTAACATGTATTCTTACTATTAGCAAATTCACTTTATCTTCCTATCTTATTAACCAAGATACTCTACATTTTATAGCCATTCGTAAAAAATATAGCCTTCCATCAAAATTGCAATGGCTTCGGGGCTGACCCCATGGCCGAGTGGTTAAGTTTGCGTGCTCCACTGCAGGTGGCCCAGTGTTTCGTTGGTTCAAATCCTGGGCGCGGACATGGCGCTGCTCATCAAACCACACTGAGGCAGCGTCCCACATGCCACAACTAGAAGGACCCACAACAAAGAATATACAACTATGTACTGGGGGGCTTTGGGGAGAAAAAGGAAAAAAATAAAATCTTTAAAATTGTAATGGCTTCAGTGTAGGTATCATAAACTGAAAAAAATAAGAATTCTTAGACCAATAAACATTTGCTTTAAAATAAATATCACTATCACATATTTTACAAAATAATTTAATCCACAAATTCTTACTTATCTTCAGGTAGTGTTGAAATCTATGTTTCAGATTCAATGAAACATGAACATTCACGCTTTGGAGACACCAACTATTGGGATAGACTTTCTGAAAATTTTGTGAAAGCACAAAAAATTGACAAGATTGGTCAAATTCTTTCAAGCCCAGTCCTCAGCCGAATACTGGTGATACACAGTTAATGTTGAATGAGAGTGTAGTATAAGGCAATAGTGAGCATAGCTGATGGTTCCTAAATCTGTGTCTCCAGGTAGACCTCCTACCTGGGCTTCAAACACAAAAGGGCCAATTGCCCCCTGGATGTTTTCACTTGGATGTTCTGTGGATGCCAAATTTAACAGGTCTCAAGCTGAATTCACTGTCTGTATTCTGTTTTTGATTTTGTTTTCTTTGTCTCTTTGGTGGCATCACCACCATATCAATCAAATAAGCCAGAGACCTGGACCATCTTACTTACTAAACATTTCTTGAAACCATCTGTGCATTTTCTTCCCTACTGCCTCTGCCCTAATTCAGCCTCATCCTGTCTTGCCTGGTGCCAGAACAATTTTTCTAACAAGCAAATATAATCTTCTGATTTCTTTGTTCTGGGTAAAATCTAAATTTCTCACGATTACATATAAAGTCCTTTGTGATCTGGTCCCACTTACCCTTCCATCATCTTTTGCCCAGCCTAATCTCTAGCCATACTATACTACTAGCCTCTCCCTGAATCTGACATGCTCTTTCAAGCCTTCATGCCTTTGTGTATGTTATTTCCTCTGCCTGGAATGCTCTTAGCCCCCTGGCAAACTCCTTTCCACCCTTCAAGTCTCAGCTCGTATTACCTCCTCTGTGAAGCTTCCTCTGACGCCATTAGACCAATGTGGATGTTCCCACCTCTAACGTTCTGATTGCATTTTGAACATACCTCCATCATCACAGTGATTACACTATACTCTAATTGCTTGAACATCTGTCTTCCTGTTAGCTTCTAATCTCCTTAACGGCAGGGACTTTGTCTTTCCATCTTTGCATCCTCTGCAGGCAGCATACTAATCAGTCTGCAAATCAAATGAATGAATGAATATATGAATGAGTGCCTTCCTCTCCCTGCAGGTGGCATCTTCTATTTGGAACACAAGAGGGAGCTATGCTCCCTCACTGCCCTATACTCCATTCTCCTTCAACATTGTGTATCACCAATACAGGGCTAAGGACTGGGCAGGAAGAGATCTGACCAACCTTGTCAATTTTTCATGCTTTCACAAAATTTTCAGAAAGTCTATTCCAATAGTTGGAGTCTCCAAAGCATGAATGTTCATGTTTCGTTGGATCTGAAACATACATGTCGATTCTATCTGAAGATGAGTGACTAAGAATTTGTAGATTAAATTATTTTGTAAAATGTGTGATAGTGATATTTATTTTAAAGTAGATGTTTATTGGTTTAAGGATTTTTATTTTTTTAGTTTATGACACCTAGTTGAAGCCATTACAATTTTGATGGAAGGCTGTATTTTTTAGGAACAGCTATAAAATGTAGAATATCTTGGTTAATAAGATAGGAAGATAAAGAGAGTTTGCTAAGAGTAAGAATACCTGTTATATGCCAGAACTTCAAAAATAAATATTTGCAATATAAGTAAATAAGAATAGTGTGATGTATTTTGGTCAGGGTCACATATTAACTTCATTCCTGTATTTATTGTAAAGGAAGGTTATAAAATATTTTACAAGAATGGCTCACCTCTATTAATATCGTGATTCAAAGAAACACTAACAAAAGGCTTTCTGTATCGTATGTACAGAAGAATGAAGTTAACTTATTTCCTGTTCTCCAAAATATTTATTAAAGATGACTAAAGCAAAAAAGACAGTTGGTAAATAAGGTTTGCCTTGTTTAATTTCTTCTTGTTCAATTTAATGAATTAGACCTACTTTAATCTACATTGTGTAATTTAAAATTAATTTTTTCTGACACTGATCCTAATTTGATTTTAATTATTAAGCTAACAGGCCTCCTGCATGAAGAGGTGAGACTGAAATGAAAAGTCCACACACCTGGCAATCCTGCTTTGCCTAGAAAGCTTGTCGTTTCTTTTGGGGACACCTTCCTCCCTGACTTATCATGGAGGGTCTGGCAGTGGAATTTTTTCTAATCTGAGAAAAATCTCATGTCAGTCTTCATTCAACTCACTTCTCCCCTAGCTCCGCACTATGATTGGTGTGTGTGTATATACATATACAATGTATCTTGATATAAATAAGCACCACATACAGTCAGACATACACCTACAAGTTTGTATAAACGGAAATACAGACACAAGAAGGAAGTAGCTCTCAGTAACATAGACACCTAGACACGAAAACCCTCCTTCAGAATCCCCTGTGACAAAATTGAGGTGCTTTCTTGACCAATCCCCAAACTTTGGGGTCCTCCTTTGTCACCTGGACTGGAGAGGTGAGTGACACTTCTTTTCCTTTCTAGACTCCCTTAAAACACTGAGGCATTTCTCACGCTCAAATGTATTTCAGACAGTTACCTAAGCCTTACCCACCACAGGGTGAAGTGGGGTTCCCTCATACGTATGAGGGGTGGGCAAGAAAGTTACAATCAAGAAAAATCATCCTCATACAAGCTCCAGTCTTCAGCAGCCAAGTTATTATGTGTTTTCTTAGTGTTCCATGGCCTCTCTTGTAGCTTAGCAGGAATTTCTTCCTGAAGTCCCTCCTCCTCCCCCCACCTCCCCTTCCATCTTCTGGAACCCACAGAGTAAGGACTACTAATTCCCTACAAAGGGGGAGTGGGTGGCGTGCCTGGAGTTGCCAAGAGCTCTAACTGGTGATACACACAGCTACTAGATGGAAGGTGATGGTATATTTCTCAAGTTGGCGTTGACCCCATTAAAAGTTTACCGTTCTGGCTGGCTAAGGGGACTCTGTCAGGAACTCCTGTTCCAGCCTCTCCTCTTCAAGAAAGTGGGTGTGTGGGTATGTTGTTGCACTGAAGGAGGAGTTAAGTGGAGAAATAGAACAAGATCTGAAAAGTGGGTTGGGGCAGGAATCCCCAGGAAGGGCTGAGGTGGGTAAGGGGCCCAGGGATGCTGAATCACGCAAGTCAAACTATCCAGACTCCAGGTAAGTCGGGATAAGGATTCGATGTCTGTAAACTTTGTGGTGTTTATGGCCTTAATGAGGTTTTTCTTGCCTCCTATTAGTTTCTTACCCAAACTTTCTCTTTGAAGAACTCCCGCTTGATCTGAACTTGGTCCCGGTGGACGCCGGAAGTGCGCCCCTAGGGGCCGGGGAAGGGAGGCACTTCAAGTCTTGCTCAAATCCCACCCCGTCCGCATCGACCCCAGCAGCCGCAGCCCCCGACGCTCGCACCTGGACCGCTGTTGCCTACCTTCCCCTCTTTCAAACCGTGCACGCGAGGCCGCTGGCGCCGCTCGCCTCCTGCTTGTGGAACCGCACACGCGGCGCTCCTGGGGGTGGGAATAGGGAGGGAATCAGGTCCGGACGTTCTGTCACCAAAAGCGCGCGCCCTTTTCCTCGGCAGGACTCCCTTCCAACTCCTACTCTTCTCCTCATTTACTTAGGGACCAGGCTATGACCGGACAAACCGGGTCCGGGGTGCTTCCCTGCACTCCAAGTCACTATCAACCTTCTCAGACCGCACCCCAGGTTCTGCGGCGCTGCCCCCCACCCCCGGCCTGGGACAGACAGGGGATGGGTGCGCGAGAACCCCACCCTCCGCAGGCGTCTCTACGAGCCCTCCTTCTCTCCCCCCGACGTCCGGCACCCCTGGCGGCTACAGCACAAACCTAGCGATGCAGTCCGGGGTCCAGCGGGGCACGGGCGCGGCTCGAGGGCGGTGACACCCTCAAGATCTCACGAGGAACCCCGGGGGGTGGTTACCACAGACTCTTACAGGGTCCTAGGACGGATGCCTTGTTTGGACGCCTGGGCTGGACTGCGGGCGTTGATCGATCCTCTTGGTCTCAGAGCTGAGATCGGATGGCGTGGAGAGGATTTGGGGAGCGCCTCCCGGGTCCCCCACTCACCCTCCCCGTGTTCCGCCCGCTCCTCAGCCTCCGCAGACCTACAGAAGCAGACTAGTCCTTTTCGCCATCCACGTGGCCGCACTAGCCTTGCCCTCGTCACGAATGGGACATCTCCCCCACCTGAGTCGTGCGAGCCGGTGCCGTTTCACCTTGCGCGCCCGGGTCCCCTTGGAGCACTTCGGCAGGTCCAGGGTGCGCAGGCCTCTATCCCGCCCCGCCCCGCCCCGCCCCGCCCCCGCCGTGGAACTGGGACCCGCCGCGCGCTCTTCACCCCCGAGCCCCAGCCGCCCCGGCGCAGAGCTGGTGAAGGAGCAGGACGAGAGCGGGCGTCGCGGGCCCAGCTGGGAGCAGGCGGCAGCTGATCCGCAGTCGGGGCTCGAGGGACGCCGCGGCCGCAGGTCAGACCGAGGAGGGCTTCGCAGGCCCGCGGGCCTGTGCGCCCCAGGGGAAGGAGCCCCATGGCTGCGGTGGAATGCGACCCAGCTCCTCCACATTTTTGAGGGAAGGGGAATCTAGCTGTAGCCCCGCTGTGCCTCCGTTCTTAGCCTGAGGCTAAAATGGGCCCTGTTCTGGCCTATCCTCCATCCCACTAGCCTTTGGGAGACTGGATTCTTTGGCAACTGGGAATGTTGGGTGACCTAGTTTGCTTGGACCTAGAGGATCTCTCTGGAGCTCCTCCGGCACCGTGCATCATGCCAGGGAGGGAACGTAGGACTTTTAGAGTCCAGGCTTTCCCCTTCCACCCTCCCTTGGGACCAAGTTGGAATCCCTATGGCCTGACTCATCATTCCCCCACCCCAGGCTCACCACTGTAGGACTTCAGGTTAGAAAAGTAGCCATGTGGGGCAACAACCAGGCAGGCCTGAGTTCTCTCCCGCTTCTGCCACTGCCTGGGGCTCCACTGCCCTGTCATGAGGTTGTTCCTTCATTTCAAGGTTGTTGGGAAGTTACTGGAAAATGTTGCTATGTAAACTGTTGTGGTTACCCACCGGCAGGCAAGGAGTGGTTATTAAGCATGCCTACCTTCGCCTTCAGGTTGCCCCGCAACCTGTCCTGAAAGCTCACTGCATACTTTTGTGGATTGAGTCGTATGTTGGTGTCTGGGGTCAAGGATCCTGAAGACATCCTGCTGGGAGGGAAAGGGCAGGGCATCCTAGATCAGGGAAGGATCACTGTGGCCACTCAGCATGTCCAGGCTTACGGCTTAAACCATACAGAGCCCTGCTCTTCACACACTCTCAAAGGCCGGTGTCTGGACAGTCTCTGGGCTGCAGTGGGTGGAATACTGAGCTTTCGAGGTATGACAGGGCCTAGGTTCTTCATTTGTTTAGTGGGAGACTGCAAGTGGGAATGAAGTCACCTTCCGGGTTCCCTCCTCTGTGACTAGACAACCTGTCCAGGAGCCCTGAGGGTTTGGCTAGAGGTGAGGCTTTCCCTGAGCTCCCACCTTCCTCCACTATATTGTTCCCCAGCCCTACCCCACCCCCAATCTTCACGTTGCCTTCAGGAGGTCTTCACTGGCCTCAGGCACTCCCTGTGCCACTCAGGAGTCCCAGCCTCAGTCCCCTGCTGCCTCTGTTTCCCTGTTGTCCCTGGGTGATTTGTTGGCCTGGGGAGAGAGAGCAGGAAGCCAGCACCAAACACATGTGCACCTGGCCTGCATCCCTTCAAAGTCCACCCAGAGGAGCCAAGCTCCAGCCCACTCTTTTATATCATGTTTACATAGCATCCGTCACTTTTCTCCCTTTGAAGTCAACCTCATTCTCACATTTGATTCTGGCAACCACACTAGGAGGTAGGCAGTTCAGGCATGTTTGTTCCCATAGCTGGAAGAGGAAACCAAGCTCCAGATCAGAGAAGTGACCCGCCTAAGATCACACTTAGGCAGCAGCACAGTATCCTGGCCTCAGCCCGGTGTCCTAACCCCCAAGCAAGGCTCTGTTCAAGGCACACCCACTGCAGGAAGTGGAACCAAAGGAAGTTTTCCAATTAATCTTAGAAGGCAAAATCCAGGAAGATGGTGATTTCTGTCTGCTTTGTTCATCACTTAATCTCCAGTGCCTAGGTCAGTGCCCGCTACATAGTGGGTGCTCATCAAGTGTTTGTTGAATGAATGAAAGATTCTTGAGAAAGAGTGAGTCTCTTGCTTTTTGCTACCTACTGTGCCCTTGGTCCAGCCCCAGGCCTTGATTCACAGGGGACTGCAGAGGCCCTAGCCTGACTCTCCTGAACTGCTTGGGTCCATTCTCTCTATTCTCTGTCTTTTTCTAGGGTCTGCATTTCAGGGTGTTATAACACCTGAGCCCTGTTATCATTTTCATCATGGGCTTCTGCCTGGCTCTGGCATGGATACTCCTGGTTGGGCCATGGATGCCCACAGGTGAGTACAGATTAGAGGAGAAATGTGGCTAGGAGCAGAGGAACCCAGATCCTATGGGTTCCCCCAAGGACAGAAGCTATGTCATACTCACCTCTGTATCTCCAGGCCCTAGCTAACACAGTACCCTGCCCATGGTAGGTGCTCATTTCAAGCTTGTTGACTAGACAGATGGATAAAGGAATGAAAATTTTTCCCAAATACACAGAATTAGGGAGCCTTAACTGCTGTGTCAGCATTTCCTATTTAGTTCTTGACTGTCGGTGGGCCCTTTCTCTCTTTCTTCATAAAGTAAGGACCCTGGACCCCAAATAAGAAAAGATTGACTAGACACACAAGACAATAAAGGATCTTAGGGTCAAATTGGACCCAAAGCTGAAGGGAAGTCACCAATATTCTGAAACAATATGATAAAAAAAAGAAAACAACCAATATGAGCCATAAGAGTTTCATCTTGTTACCTTCAGCTTTGGACAGTCTCTTACTAGATTCTGAGGCCATTCTCTGTAGTCTGGGTTGCTGAGGAAGGAAGTGGGCTTAAGGTGCCACAACTTAGGTTAAAAAGAGCAAGTCCCTGATCATCAGAGGTGGAAGACGCAAGAACAGGGAGCGGAGAAACCTGTGAGATGATCTGTCCTGGCGGAGGTGACAGGATGGTGACATGGCCCTGCAGTGTCTCCCTTGCCAGAGCTGCTCACATTCCCATTCTTCCAGGCCTCTCCTTGCCTTGGCCTTGGGTTTTCCTCTTCTCCCCACCTCTTGCCTCTTATTCCCAAGAGGCATTCTCCCCCACACCCTCCCCAAGAGGCCTCCTCCTTGTTCTGCCACCAGTTCATCTTATTTTAGAGATCACATATATGTGGACACTCTAGTTCCTGCCGGAGGTCCTGGATCCTTAGTTGGGTTTGAGTGTGTGTGTGTGTGTGCACAGGCATGTGCGCATACATACACATGGGTGTGGATCAGGAAGGTAGATCTGAGATCCCACCCTTGGTCTATATGGAGAGGTAAGCAGAGGAACGGTCTCTCTCTGGCTAAGGAGAGTCCTTTTCTTTGCTCTGTTCTCTGAGGTGAGCAGAGAGGGAGCCTTGGTCCTGTAGCCTCCTAGTTTGGGGAAAGGAATCTGGCTGGTCATCTAACCTATTGGCCAGAAGGACCCCAGCTCCTCTGACTGAACCCTTCCCTCTGCTCCGACTTTCTGAGCTCCTCCCTTACCAGCCCAGTGCTCCCTCCCTGACCCTAGTTTTTGGAGAGTATAATACTGTCCAGAGGAGGAATTATATGGAGACATGATGCCCCCAAAGAGGAAGGGGCAGGGTTATCCCCATGACCAGTCAGTCCCTGATTCCACCCAAGAAACTAGGAAGAAGGCCAGAGTAGCAACGGGCCGCAAAGCCACAGCCCTGTGGCCCACACCCTTGCCCTGGGCTCTTCTCAGCAGGCCAGGGCCAAGCCCCTCTCCACACTGGCCCTGCCCAGGGATGGGACAGAGAATGGCATGTCCTTTCCTGGGTAGAAGAGTGGCTGGCTCTTTGGGTGTGGCTGGCTCTTGCCCTGTTTGATGTCTTAGGGCTGGGAACGGTTTCTGTCCTGCCGTGTCCCCCAGGAAGATGAGGTGTGAGGGCAGAAGGCTCCTGCACCCCCTTCCCCATCGCCACTGTTCTCCTCCAGCCTCCTCTTCCTCTCTGAGGCCATTTGTGAGCACACACTGCACCTGGCTATAGTACTTCAGTGCTCCCTGCCATGTTTCCCCCACTGAGCAGCTTCAAGATTGGGCTTGAGTTCAAACATCATCACTTTGCCCTGGGTCATCTCTCTCTGCACCCTACATCCCACACTGTACTGGGTGTCCACTTTCTGCTGCTCCAAGCGCCAGGCCCACAGGTTCCATATCCTGCAGGCCTGCCCATTCTCTCAGGCACAGACTGGCCGAGCTGCCCCTTCCCTCCATTCTCACACAGGAGCTCAGAACCCCATTTCGTGGGAGGTGCAGCGATTTGATGGGTGGTACAACAACCTCATGGAGCACAGATGGGGCAGCAAAGGTATGTGAGAGCCAAGTGGAAACAGAGCCCAAGGGTCAGGGTGGTACCTACCACTAAGGGGCAAGGGGTGGCACGCACCAGCAAAGGTTCATCCATTCCTAAGGTTTTGGGATCTGTGATATGGAGGGAAGCCTGGGAGAGAGGAGGTGAGGGACCGCCCTGAGGATTCATCCTTGTCCCTACCCCTTCTACCTCAGGCTCTCGGCTGCAGCGCCTCGTCCCAGCCAGCTATGCAGATGGTGTGTACCAGCCCTTGGGAGAGCCCCACCTGCCGAACCCCCGAGAACTTAGCAACACTGCCATGAGGGGCCCTGCAGGACAGGCCTCCATGAGAAACCGCACGGTGCTGGGGGTCTTCTTCGGTGAGGGCCTCAACCTCTGGGGGAGGGAGGCCAGTGGGGTCAGCTGGACACCACTATGTTTGAGGGGAAAGTCAGAGAGTGACGAGAGAAGTGATGGAGGGACTGAGAGATGGGAGTGAGAGACGAGGTGGAGGCAATGGGGCCGGGTAAGGGTAGGGGCAGAGGAAGAAAGTCTGGTGAGAGAGGCATGAGTCTGCCCCACCTTGAGCTGTTGATGGGAGGGTAGAGGCAGCAGCATGAAAATAATCTGGTAGGAACTCTCCGTGGGACCCTGTTCTCACTCTTTGCCCCTGTGGCTCCTAGGATAGGCTCAGGTCAGGGTTCTGATTCAGGCAAGAGGGCTGAGGGAGGGGTGTGTGTCTCAAAATAGGCATGCTAGGGTGACCTGACCCCAGTGACTGTGGATTGCAGGCTCCCAGCAGGAATGCCCAGCTCCTGCTGGCCTTCCAGGGTGCCCACCTTGCTTCCCAGTGTCCAACATCCCACTGAGGCTGGCAGTCCCTCTGGGCAAGCTGCTCCCAGCTGCATGTTGGAGCTGGTGCCGCCAGCCCGATTGCCTAGGCACACTAACTGGGCGCCTCCCAGTTACTAAGGAGAAGGCCAAACTGGCAATGAAAACAGTTTGGACAGGGGTGTAGCAGAGGACTGGGAACGGGTGGGGGAGGTCAAGGCTTGGACTTGCCCATAAAATGGCTGCTGAGTCTTTTGAAGTTTCAAGGAGTTGCGGCGGGGAGGACTAGATAGCTGGCACAGAAAGGAGACTGGCCCTCAGCTGGCCCTAGCATCCCCCCACCCCCGCTGCCTGCAGGCTACCACTTGCTCTCCGACCTGGTGAGTGTGGAGAGACCCGGCTGCCCCGCCGAGTTCCTCAACATCCGCATTCCTCCGGGAGACCCCGTGTTCGACCCCAACCGGAGCGGGGACGTGGTGCTGCCCTTCCAGAGAAGCCGCTGGGACCCCAAAACCGGACAGAGCCCCAGCAACCCCAGGGACCTGGTGAGACGAGGCAGGTGGCGTGGCGGGGCGCTGGACCGGAGGCAGGCGGGGTCCTGGGCTCGGGGCCTGACAGGGCCGGGCGGGAGAGGCTCCCACCCCACCCCCACGGACCCCGCCTGGGCCTGGCCCTCCCTTAGCCGCCTCGGCTGCCCGACCCCTCGCTGCCCCGCAGACCAACGAGGTGACGGGCTGGCTGGACGGCAGCGCCATCTATGGCTCCTCGCACTCCTGGAGCGACGAGCTGCGGAGCTTCTCCGGGGGGCAGCTGGCGTCCGGGCCCGACCCCGCCTTCCCCCGGGACTCGAAGGACCCCCTGTTCATGTGGACCGCGCCCGACCCCGCCACCGGACAGCGCGGGTCCCAGGGGCTGTACGGTGAGGCCGCGGGCCGGGCTCGGTGGAGGGCTGGCTGGGGTCTGCGGGGTTGGGCTCCCGTGAGTCACACCGCCACTCATCTCCTCCCCTGTGTCCCCACGTCGCCTACAGCCTTCGGGGCGGAGCGAGGCAACCGCGACCCATTCGTGCAGGCGCTGGGCCTGCTCTGGTTCCGCTACCACAACCTGTGCGCTCAGAGGCTGGCCCGCGAGCACCCGAGCTGGGGGGACGAGGAGCTGTTCCAGCACGCGCGCAAGAGGGTCATCGCCACCTATCAGGTCAGCGCCTCCCCCACGTCCTGGTCCACCGAGACTCCGCTCGCCCGCAGGGCCAGCTATCCTTGCACAACTCCCACCCAGAAACGCCCTTCTCCAGGAGGACACCCCTCCCCAGAAAGCTAACGTCTAGGAATAGACCCTGAAAATGATCAGGACGCAAAGCGCTACTTAGACATGAGGTTTCGCTTGTGATTATTATTTAGCTCCCTTCCTCCCCCTCTCAAATCCCCTGTTCCTTGTGGGGGACATGCCTCCTCACCTTCCTCTTTGGCCTCCCTCGTGCCTGCCCCTGCCTGGTCCTCATCTCTCACTTAAGCCTTCCTTGGGCTCAGATTCCTCCCAGCCTGGCAGCTCCAGCGCTGGCCTCCCCTTTCCCCTCTCTCTGACCCTCAGAACATCGCTGTGTACGAGTGGCTGCCCAGCTTCCTGCGGAAAATGCTCCCGGATTATGCAGGTGAAGGGATGGAGAAGGAGAATGGAGAGCTTGCAGGAGTTTTTATGGAGTAGGGGCAGGTGGCGGTCGGGGGGATGTTGAGTGATTTAAGGGCTAAATTTTACTGTCGTCTCTCTTTTCCTCTTCCCCCAGGATACCGGCCGTTTCTGGACCCCGGCATCTCCCCGGAGTTCCTGGCGGCCTCTGAGCAGTTCTTCTCCACCATGGTGCCCCCTGGCGTCTACATGAGGTAGGGGAGGAGCTCAGAAATCCGGGGGTGGGGGGAGGGCGGAGAGGGGAGCGGTGACAGTGTCAATTGAGAAAAACCTGCCCTCAGGAACTCTTAGGATAGGATTATCAGCCTAAACTGTGCCCATTCCCCCCAGGGAACAGTGAATATGGAAGGGAAGAAGAACAAATTGTTTAAAAAGATACTTCATTGTGGTTTTTAAGCACTTTTATGTCCATTTTCCTGCAGGCGGTGTAGATATTAATTCCTCAATTAAAGATGGGCTAATTGAGGCTCAGAGGGTGAGTCACAAAGCCCGTTGGTCTGAACCTCAGGTCTTGACACTACACTGGAGTCATTTTTAGCTATGAGCACAGAACCTAGCCTTTGGAGGGAATTATAATAAGAATGTGTGAGAGCTAAAGAAAAATATTGGCTCCAAAATAATGAAGAGGGAACTTTAAACTAAAAATATACATATTTAATTAAGTGTATATGAAACAAAGCATGTCAGTTTATTTTTTACAATTGCATTATAATTTAAAACAACTCACAGGTTAGATTTTCTTACTGTGGAACAATTTTTGGATATGCCTGATGATGGCCAAGAAATCATAGCAATTGAGTTATCCATAGACAAGTAATTTCAAGAGAACAATTAAAAATCCTTTTAAATCTTTTAACTTAGACATGTATATATAGTATATACACAGAGAGAGAGAGGGCACGAGCACACACGAGTGCTGTGGATGCAGTTCTAGATGTTTGGTCTGATGTGGGGAGAGGGACCTTTCAAAAAGCAGATTATTCAGGACCTACTCTAACCCCCTCCCCTCATGGGAAGCAATGGCCTGGGCCCCTGGCTACAGTCTTGGAGGCCAGAGCAGACCAGAGACTGACATTAGGACCCCGTGGCCTCAGTTACCATTCCCTTGCTCCTTGCATTTCAGAAATGCCAGCTGCCACTTCCAGGGGGTCCTCAATAGGAACTCAAGCATCTCCAGAGCTCTCCGGGTCTGCAACAGCTACTGGAGCCGAGAGGTTAGGGCTGGGGGCACAAATATGGGTGGGTATATGTGTGTGTTGTGGGTGTGTGTCTGAGGGCATGTGGTGAAGGTGGGCAGTAGAGCTAAGGCAGCCAGCTGGAATGTGCTGGGCTGGAGGAGGACCTAAGCCATTTCCCCTACCACTGTCTGAGATCACCAGGTAGTTGTACATGCTTAAAAGTCAATCCTCTATCTCTACCTCAGAGCTTTGTGAGAGACAGTGGGGCCTGTGCAGGTTGGCTCTTCATTCATTGCTTCCTCCTAGATTTTTCTTTTCCCTTGACAGCTATTGGTCCCATGTAGGCCTTGGAGTATCCCAGCCATCCCAGCCCCCAAAGAAACTTCCCAGTTAGATACACCCAGGACAGTGTGTGAATGTGTATGGGGGGGGGGGGGCGGTGAGGAGGAGGGAGGGCTTCTGAGAGATTACCAGGGATAGTCCATCTAAACCAGGCCAGTGTGCTTGAAGAGCACTGACCATCAACTTAAAACAAAATCAGATACTTTGTGTTGAGTATTGATAAGAGGAGAAGGGAGGTGGGAGGAAAAGAGAAGAGGATGGCATAGGATCAGAGTCACAGAGCTGAGCTGAAAGAGACCTCAGTGTCCTCCTAATCCCTTTTTATTATTTATTATATTTTATTAATCCCTAATGCTAATGCTCTTTTTTTTTTTTTAAAGATTTTATTTTTTCCTTTTTCTTCCCAAAGCCCCCCGGTACATAGTTGTGTATTCTTCGTTGTGGGTTCTTCTAGCTGTGGCATGTGGGATGCTGCCCCAGCGCGGTCCGATGAGCAGTGCCATGTCCGCGCCCAGGATTCGAACCAACGAAACACTGGGCCGCTTGCAGCGGAGCGCGCGAACTTAACCACTCGGCCACGGGGCCAGCCCCCCCAATGCTCTTTTTATTAAGGAGAGGACACTGAGTTCAGAGAGGTCCTGTGACTTGCCCACGGTCACATAGCTAGCTAGTGACAGAACAAGAACCAAGACCTAGATCTAGGGACTTTGTCAACCCTACTATCAAGTCTCCTAAAATAGAAATAAAGTTTTAGATCCCTTGTGCTTGTGGGGACCTGTCTCCCAGCAGCATGGGCTTTGGATGGGGACATCACTCACCCTGAGTGGAGCATCAACCTGAGGAGGAGGAATGGCCCCCCAGTTTGGGAGCAAACAGCAGGACTGGGTGGGCCCAGGACGTGGACAATGGGGAGGAGGGAGTCTGGCTGCCCAATCTCTGGCCTCATTAGCCACACTCATCTCCTCTCCCCACCCCCAAAGCACCCAAACCTACAAAGAGCTGAAGATATGGATGCGCTGCTGCTGGGCATGGCCTCCCAGATCGCTGAGCGAGAGGACAACGTGGTGGTGGAGGACGTGCGAGGTGAGGCTGAGGCTGTCCCTGCAGGCTGTGCATCCCCAGGCCCCTGGGAGGAGGTTTAGCTGGAGCTCCAGAGTCAGGCAGGGAGGGGTGCCCAGGCCTGGAAGCCTGCACTGTCTCGCTCCTGAGAGAGCTTCTGACCTGCTGACCATAGCTCCCTCTGTATGGCTCAGGTCCCCCTGGGGCTGGGACATGGGTTAGAGGTACAGTGGTGGCCTTAGGCTCCCTTAGACTCTCCGATATCTCATCTGCAGATTTCTGGCCTGGGCCACTGAAGTTTTCCCGCACAGACCACCTGGCGAGTTGCCTGCAACGAGGCCGGGATCTGGGCCTGCCCTCTTACACTGAGGCCAGGGCAGCACTGGGCCTGCCTCCCATTACCAGATGGCAGGACATCAACCCTGCACTCTCCCGTAGTAATGGCACTGTGAGTAGGGGTGGGGACCCAGAGGGCAGAGTGGAAGGGCCCAGAGACATGGAAGATGGGCCGTGAAACACAGGACTAGAGATAAGCACCTAGAGAGAGTGGCAGGGCTCACCCAGGTTGCTTTCCCCAGCATCACACTCCAGGATGGAGGTTACTAGACCAGAAGGATTTAGCTGTGACTGTGAAGATTCAGCAAATGTTTGTTGAGCATCTGTTGCATACCAGGCACTTAATGGGCTTTATCTCATTCACTCTTCCCAACAACTCCCTGAGTAGGTATAGAAGGTCCTCAACTCAGGAACAAGCTGTCCTTTCCTGCACTGATATGCAAGCTGCCTTTGGGGAGTCAGCTGTCAGACTCTGAGCTATCACCTGGGTGCCGGGCATTGCCTGCCAGCCAGCAGACCAGTCTTGGCTGCCTTACCATCTTGGCAGAGCAGTGTTCCTACAATTGTGGGCCTATTTTATTGCTTTTGCCCTTACCATGTTATAAATTTGTTGGAAAGTGGAGAATTGAAAGGCCAATAAAGAAGTGATATACGCATGGCGCTCATAAACTTTATAAAATCAATATAAAGATAGGATTCACCAGGCATCCAAAAGTAGCAAATCTTTAGTTTCAACTGGGCCTCGTTGGAATTAAGCTGGTCAATTGCTTATTTATTTACATTGTGGAGAAAAGAGCTAACGTAAAGGTCAGGTAGAAAATGCTTCTCGTATATTGTTGAAGACTCTCTCTAAAAGGCAATGCATATGCAGGGATTTGAGTTTTAAAAACTTTTTTTAACTCTAAAGAATAGAAACCTTTTCTAATACATCATTCTACCATTCCCTTTTGCACTGATTTTGACCCTTCAACTTTCGTATCTTTTCAAGAGCAAGTTACGTAGGGAGCTGGCTGTCTGTTTTGTTCCCACTTTATAAAATAGGCAGCTGAATCTATAAGAGAGTTCCCATAGAGGAGTTAACCTATGAAAGCGCTCAGAGCAGTTCCCGGGAGTCACTGTTACTTATTATTATTATCCCTGGGGCTGATCCCTGGGAACCATCTCTTTGCCCAAGGGTGGGTGCTGCCTCTTTGCACTCACTGTCCCTTCTTGGCCCCAGGTGCTGGAGGCCATAGCTGCCTTGTACAATCAGGACCTGTCCCGGCTGGAGCTGCTCCCTGGGGGGCTTCTGGAGAGCCACGGGGATCCTGGGCCCCTCTTCAGTGCCATCGTTCTCGACCAATTTGTGCGGCTGCGGGATGGTGACCGCTACTGGTTTGAGAACACCAGGAATGGGTAAGGCCTACCTGGGCCACCACCCAGACTCCGCCTCAGGCTTGGCCCCAGACCCTCCACCTGTGAACATTCCCCAGGGGCCCTTGATTCTCAGCTGGCTCCACCTCCTCCCCAGCCCTTCTGGGTCTCTTTTCTCATCCGGGTCCCTGGCCTGGGAGGCCAACATCTCTTTCCCATGGCAACAGTCCCCCACCTCTCCCACCCCTAGGCTGTTCTCGGAGGAAGAGATAGTAGAGATCAGAAACACTTCACTACGGGATGTTCTAGTGGCCGTCACCAACATGAACCCCAGTGCCCTGCAGCCCAACGTCTTTTTCTGGCATGCTGGTGAGTGGCCAGGAGGTGTTTGGAGGGGTTTGGCCTCATCCTTCCTCAGCTGTGGGCTTGGTTCAGTGTGGCTAGATGGTGGACTCCAAGTGGGGAGTGAGCAATGGCTGTGCCCTTGGGAACTTTGGTTCTGCGCAGCAAGGTGGCCACATACACCTGTGTAGGTTCCCCTCTGCACAGCTCCACCAGGTACCCAAGCAAGGACAGGACTGAGTGAGAGAGACCTGGTGAGGAGGCTCGCATTCGGCTGGCATGGGGCGAGTGCAGCAGTGATGGGCAAAGGGCTGTGTGTGTGTGTGTGTGTGTGTGTGTGTATGTGTGCACATATGTGCATGTGAGGGAGAGACCTAGGTTGAGGATCATTTTTGACTCCACTTGTTACCCAAGTAGGCAAATGCCATGTTCTTGGTACAATGGGGCAGGGGTAAGCAGCCCCCTCCCTTCTGCCAGCCAGAGCTATCCGCCCAGTGTGCCACCCTAACCTCCTCAGTGATCCTGTGCCAGAACCTGTGGCTCAGCACCCCCCAGGATTCTAGCTTCCTCTGCCTCCCCAGGAGACCCCTGCCCGCAGCCAAGACAGCTCAGCACCGAGGGCCTGCCAGCCTGTGCTCCTCCCGTCATGCGGGACTATTTTGAAGGCAGTGGATTTGGCTTCGGGGTCACCATCGGGACCCTTTGCTGCTTCCCCCTGGGTAAAAGTGATGGGCAGAGTGGGTTGGGTGAGAGGTGTAAGCTGGGTGGGGTGGGGTTGGGGTGGTTCCATCTATGACAACCCACCATGCAGAGTACCATTCCTCTGGGCAAATGAAGAAAACGTTGGAGCAGGAGGGGACATGAGAAGTGTTTGACCTGTAGATAAGTCAGCTTCAGGGAGAATTGCCTCTCTGTTCTCCTGGGGTCCCTCCAGGGCCCACATTGGTCAGGAGCCACAGGAGTCCATGGTCCACAGCTATTTTCAGGAACTTGAGCCAGGGATACTGTCAGAGGCAAATCCCTGATTGAGAACAAGGGCTGGGATGTAGTTGCTGGGACAAAGGCTTGGGACTTAGTCTTTGGCACGGCCATGTGTGTGCCGACCAGCCACCTGGCAGAGTGGGTCCAGTCTCTGGCACAACAACTCTGGCCTTAGTCTCTGGCTGGGAAGGGACCTGAGTGGTGGAAGCACGGGAGGCTGTGCAGGCATCTTAGAGGCTATGCAAAGGTCCCCATGGGAGGCAAAGTGGTTCCCCCCCCCCGGAACTTCACAATTTGAGATAATCGAATGGGCCAACCTAGGAGGTGGGGAAAGCAGGGGTTCTTGCCAAGGAAAGGAGTCTGGGAAAGGAGCTACTGATCTCTCCAGAACCCCCACTTTTCTCTGAGCATCCTACTACCTCTGCCCTCTCAGTGAGCCTGCTCAGTGCCTGGATTGTTGCCAAGCTCCGGAGGAGAAATTTCAAGAAACTCCAGGGCCAAGGCCGCCAGAGCATCATGTCTGAGAAGCTTGTGGAGGGAGTGGAAGGTAGGTGTGGGGCTGGCCAGGGTGGTGCTGGGGAGGACAGGACTCAGGGCTACAGCCCCACCTCCACCTCAGCAGCCGAAGGAAATGACCTCCCTTTTTCAGGCCTTGAGGCAGGCCAGGACAGGTGGGCAGAGCCGCAGGGGCATTGAGGCCTCCACTCTCCATAGCTCCTCCCAGTGGTCCCAAAGGAAGGGGATGTGATAGACTCATGGGAGGAGTCACAGGACCCTACCTCATTTCCCAGGGTTACTGTGACTTGCAGATCCTGAGAACTGCTGCTTTGTGGCATCTCACACTGGAATTTCTGGCAACAGAGAAGTAATTAATGAAGGTCTAGAGTCAGACTGGCTGAGGATTGGAATCTTGGTTCCACTACTTGGGCTCCTGGGCCTTAGGCAGATTTTTAATCTCTCTAAACTTATTTTTCTTATCTGTAAAATAGAAATAATAATAGCACTTACGTCTTAGATTTATGCAGATTAAATTAACTAATTCACACAAAGCACTGGGAACAGTGTTGGACACATAGTAAGCGCTCACGAAATGGTAGTTCTTTTTCTTCTCCGGGGCTAGAAGCCCAGCAGGACTGTTGGGGAGGGGATGACCTCAGGACCCAAGAAGGGGCAAGGAGTTGGGGAGGCCTTGATCTGTCTAACTCCAGCCTTGAGCTGGCCTTCTTCTTCCCAATGTACCTCCGTCAGGGCAGGCCCCGAAGGGCCCCCTGCTGATCCAGCCCTGTCTCTCCCCAGCATTGGAATGGCAGGGCGGCAAGGAGCCCTGCCAGCGTGTGCTCGTGCACCTGCAGCCCGGGCAGATCCGCGTGGTGGACAGCAGGCTCTCTGTGCTCCGCACCATCCAGCTTCGGCCCCCGCAGCAGGTCAACCTCATCCTGTCCAGCAACCGTGGACGCCGCGCCCTGCTGCTCAAGATCCCCAAGGAGTATGACCTGGTGCGACCCAGCTGTCCCCTGGCTCCTTGTCCACAGCCACAGCCCAGGAGGCAGCCAGGTGGAGGGGAAGGGGTACTGGGCCAGACAGGGTTTCTGGCTTCTAGTCCCTGACTGTAGTAGCTGATAGAGAGATAAACTTGAACACGTTTGTCCTGCTCTGGGCCTGCTGGATGACATGATCTCCAGAGTCCCTTCTTAGTCTTGCTGACACAGTCTGGCCCCTCCCTTTCTACGGGCACCCTGGCAGGTCCTAGCTGGGAGTCCTTGGAAGAAGCTGGGCCCTCTTTCCTGTCCCTGGATTTCAGGATCTAGTGAATTGCTAGAGATTTTGGAGGGGAGTTCAAGCAGAGGCTGGTCTGCAGCTCGGGCTCTTTCGGGCTCGCAGTGTCCTCCATCCATATGGAATAGAGAGGGAAGAAAGGCTTTGTACACGTGCCTTTGAATGCTACCTCTGCACCTGTAAGCAAGCCACTTAACCCCCCTGAGCCCAGGGGATAACAATATCTCTTTTGCAAAGGCACACTTTCCAGTGGCCCCTTGACAAAATTCATGTCAATCGCCTGGCCTCAAGAGGCCTTGATAATGGTTGCTCTCCCCACTGCCACCTCTGTAGGTGCTGCTCTTCAACCTAGAGGAAGAGCGGCAGGCGCTGGTGGAAAACCTTCGGGCAGCTCTGAAGGAGAGTGGGCTGAGCTTCCAGGAGTGGGAGCTGCGGGAGAAGGAGCTGATGAGGGCAGCTGTGACGCGGGAGCAGCGGAGCCACCTACTGGAGACCTTTTTCAGGCACCTTTTCTCCCAGGTGTGTACGTGGGATCAGATCTGTCCTTGCGTGTCTGCCTGTGGTGGTGCCCGTACCTGCGGGAGGCCCTGGGTGACTCCAGGGGAAGTCAGAAGCCCTGAGTTCTCAGCTAAGAATCAACTCTACTGTGATTTTGGCCAGGTGGCCTGACCTTTCTGTAAAGAGATGCTCCTGCCCCCATCCCTATCCCGCTGCCCCCATCCATGAGGCTCCTGGGAGGCGATCGATGCTGGGGAAGAGGTTTATCTGCATGTCGCTTATCTCTCTCCTCAGAGCTGTCCAGGCTTTCTGCCCTCACTCTTTTCATCCTGCCCAAAAGGCTGCAGAAACCTAGGGCGAGACAGGCAGTGTGGGGCAGCGAGAGCCCGTCCTTGAGGGAGTGCCACTGCCAGAGACTCCATGGGGCATTAGTGCCCACCTTGCAACTTCTGAGAGCTATTGGGAGGATGAGGGGAAGCAAGACAGAAAGAGAAATGCAAGGACTTGAGTCCTTCTCTGGCACGAAAATAAAGGCAGCCTGGGAGCAGAACAGTGGAGAGAAGCTTGGGAGATAGAAGATAAATACAGCATGGGCCCCCCTGAAGGAATTTATCATCCCACCGGCAAGATGGGACATTCACAGAAAGGAAGATAACCGGCAAAGAATGGCGACTACAGAAGTGATGCCGGAAATAAGTGATCTAGCAGTTCAGAGAAGGTAGCAAGGCTTCAGGCTGGAGTAAGGTCATGGCGGAGGTGAGATTTGGCAAGGACTCAAAAAAATTTGGAAAGATTTTGCCTCAGAAGAGAGAAGCAGGAAGGACTGAGCAGAGGTGCTCAGTAGAAAGGCAAAAAATTAATGTTTGAAAAGGAGCAGGGTTGGCTGGCTGGGGAGAGGATGCATGAGGGAAGCTACCATTTAATGGTCATTTACTGGCCAGGCACGTGACTTATTTCACTTACTCCTCAAACAAGTTGAACTTGAGTGTCAGTAGAATGGAGGGACCCCCCGCTGGGGTGACTCACTGCCAGGGCCCGGACAGGAACTGGACACCTCCGCTCTGTGCAGCATCCATGAGGGCTATGGGGACTCCCTGTGCTGAGGGTGACGGTGTGCTACCAATCGTTTCTATTTGCACAGTGCTTTCAGCTTTCAAAACATTTCCACACAACCTCTCTTGCTGATTCTCACAATAACCCTGTGAGATAAGTAGGGCGGATGAGGAAATGAATGCCAGATGACTGAAGAGATTTGCCTGAGGTCACGTAGCAAGCAAGTGGCGGAGCTGGGACATGAACCTGTGTCTCTTGCCTCCCGCCCCCGGCTTTTTCCATGGAAGAACCTTGTCTGAAGCAACAAGATTTACCTCATGAAACTGTAGCCAGGCTTGGACTAGCGGGCCCCAGTTGACAGGCAAGAAAGACAGGTGCTGTGGCCTGGGGCCTGCCTGCTTCCCTCGCTGTCTGTTCTCCTCATGCTGGCGCAACCCCTGGGTAAGCTGAAGATGGCCCATGATGAGAATTCCCCTTTCCCCAGCTGAGGCTTTTTCTCAGTCAAAACTCCTTTGGATGTAAGTAAGAGAAACCCACACGAGCTGGCATTGACAAAGGGTTAGTTGACTCTGAGGATACAGTGGTGTTTCTGGAATTCCAAAGGGAGGACTGTGACCTGGCCTGGAAGGGACCGGGAAGGGGAAAGCTGTCAGCAAACAAGGCCACTCCTCTCTTAGGCTGCCTCCGTTTTCTCTGTGCCTCTGCGTCTGAGCACTTGGAGGAACAGGGTGGGCCACAACTTCTATTTTCTTTCGCTCAGGTCAACACAGACCTAAGACGTCTCAGTCCCAATTCCAGATCTCCTGCTTGGGTCAAGTGTGCATCCCTGGTGCAATCAGCTAACGCAAAGGGCCAGGGGGCTGTAGAACAAATGGCCCCAGGGACCACCCACAAGGCTGCTAGGGTAGTGCTTAGGGGTCGGGGTACTGGGCAAACACCTTAAAAGGAGACTCCTACGAGCCTCAACTGGCCTTCAAGTCAAGGAAGCCTTGTCCCCTTCTCGCCCTCCCTCTGCTCCTGCTCGAGTGCAGGTACTGGACATCAACCAGGCGGATGCAGGGACCCTGCCCCTGGACTCGTCACAGAAGGTGCGGGAGGCCCTGACGTGTGAACTGAGCAGGGCCGAGTTTGCGGAGTCCCTGGGCCTCAAGCCCCAGGACATGTTTGTGGAGTCCATGTTCTCTCTGGCTGACAAAGACGGCAATGGCTACCTGTCCTTCCGGGAGTTCCTGGACATCCTGGTGGTCTTCATGAAAGGTGGGGAGGAGGGAGTGATTGTCCAGATAGGAGAAGATGGAAGGGGCTGGAGACAGAGCCTGGAGTGTAGCTGACCTGTTGGAGATGGGCAACCACAGGTGTCCAACCACGGCAGACATCTGGGAGTGCCCAGGCAGGGGTCAGGAAGCAGAGACACTCCTTGCTGTGTCCAGCAGTGGGTCACACTAGTGTGAGGCCCCTTCTGGCCAGTCTGGGGTTTGGGCAGGTGAGCTGGGGCTCTCATGGGATCGTCCTTCTCCCAGGATCCCCTGAGGAGAAGTCTCGCCTTATGTTCCGCATGTACGACTTTGATGGGAATGGTCTCATTTCCAAGGATGAGTTCATCAGGATGCTGAGGTTGGTTCTATGGGACAGCCAGGAGAATGGGCCAGAACAGGGACTGCCGGGGAAAAGAGGTGGGACATGAAGGAGGGAGCAGGAGGATAAAGAGCAGAGGCCTCTTCCTCTCACCCATACAGCTAGAGACCATTGTGACTAGGAGGGGGCTTGGGATTTGGCCAGTGGAGGCCCTCCCATGTGGGCTCTGACCACCTGGTGGGATAGCCAGTGGGCCCTTGTATCTAGGCCCCAGGCCCCTTATCAGGCCTTGATGGTTCCCCTCCCCCCGGCCCCAGGTCCTTCATTGAGATCTCCAACAACTGCCTGTCCAAGGACCAGTTGGCTGAGGTGGTGGAGTCCATGTTCCGGGAGTCCGGCTTCCAGGACAAGGAGGAGCTGACATGGGAGGACTTCCACTTCATGCTGCGGGACCACGACAGTGAGCTCCGCTTCACACAGCTCTGCGTCAAAGGTGGGGTGGCCCAGGGGGCAGGGCTGACTATCCCTTAGGCACAGCAGGTACATACCTAGGGACGGCATACTTTTAGGAGCCCACAGAAATGTTTTAATTTCTTTTAAAGTCCAAAGAAAAGAAGGAAGATAATAAATATGTAAGAACGTATTCAGCCTGGATTATATTCTTTATATCAACATAATTGTAAGATACAATTTTTTTTAATGGAAGAAGGGGCCCAAGAAGGCAACAGTGCCTGGGGCCCCCAAAAGTGCTCATGCTGCCCTTTTTGGTGGGGTGGGCAGCATCAGGAGAGGATGGGGGATGGCAGCTGGAATTCTGCTTCTTTGTCGAAGGCCTTTATGGCTGGTGCCCAGGGCAGGGGGGGAACTGCCTCCTCGTTACAGCCCTACCTGGACCACACCCACCTCAGCTGGGGTGTCCTGTCATGGGGGGTGCTCTGGTTTTGTCACTTTATGCTCTGGAGCAGAGCTCAGTAAATGTTTCCTGAGTGCGTGGAGACACACTTCTGTTGTCCCTCCCCCTACTTCCTGCCCCACCTGTGTCTGACTCAGGTGGGTGGGGGCTAGAGTCAGAGTGAGGAGGGGGCTGCTAGCAGGCAGGAGGACTGTCTGTGGCCTGCTCCGAGCTGTTATAGTGTCTTCACAGTTCTCGATTCTCACTGGGACATGTTGAGACCAAACCCAGCTCCTCCCAGGATTATGAGAATTTGGGGGAGCTGAGCAGCCCAGATGGGGCAGAGGGGCGAGTTAGACAAGACACAGCTGGGCCTCTGTGGGGCAGGAGGCGGGTGGGAAGGGGCAGGGGTGGAGGGTGGAGTTGGGAGAGTGCAGACCCAGCCCTCCTGATTCTGCAGCTTCCACCTTTCCCAGGCTGCCAGGGCAGTGGGCACCTGGGCCTGAGGGCAGAGCAGGACAGGTGCCTGGAAGGAAACCCGGGCCAGAGTCCGGGACATCCAGCCCCTGGGGGAAGGAGAGGACCAGGCTTGAGGAATGAGGATTAAGTAGACAGCATTGAATACTCTTTTGTTTTGCTTTTCATTGTTGTGCTTTGTTGTTTCCTCCAAATTTTACTCTGAAACATTTTAAACCTGCAGAAAATGTACAAAAATGATACTAGGAGTGTCCCTTTACCCTTCACCTAGATTTGCCATTGGTTACCATGTTGCCACATTTGCCGTTTGCTGAACCGTTTGAGAGGATAGACATCTATACTTTGTTTTAACACTCTGATTTCATTCAGTTCAGCTTGCTCTCTTTCTGCCTCTGGGCTCTAGAACAGGGTCATCTTCGGAATTGGTTTAGCACTTGGAAGTGACCTGGAGATTCCCAGGCCTCCTTGAGAACCTGGATTTGCAGCTCAGTCCTGCCCTGCCCATCAGTGCTCAGCCCAGACAGGGAACAATGGGCGGCTCCTGGGAGGGTTCCCCACGACCCCGACATTTTATTGTGAACATTTCAATACAGAAAAGTGGAAAGAATTTTTTAGCGATCTCCCATATACACACCACCTAGATTCTATATTTAACCCCTGGGAGGGTTTAAGCAGGAGGGTCTTTCGCAGGATTTTTGCGGCAGAATGGTCTTGGCAGGCAGGTTGCATATAGTTCCTGCCCTCTACCTACCCCATAAAACTGATACCAGTCCCAGGAGTGGGACTGAAGGTGGACACACAACACACTCAGGGGAGCCTGGCTGGCCAACTTTGTTTCAGGCCTTCTCCCGACCCACCCGTGGCTGGGTCGAGCTCACACTGGGGACACGGGCTGAGGCTGGGGCACTCAGAGGCAGGGTACTGGCCAGGGATCCCCTACAGTGTCTGGACCTGGGGTGGGTGCTGTGCCTTTGAGCTGGGTCCTCCCAGGCTCTGGGCCATGAGCTGCTCCCTAGCCCAGCTCTGCGTTGCAGGAGTGCAGGTGCCTGAAGTCATCAAGGACTTCTGCCGGAGAGCCTCCTATATCAGCCAGGAGAAGATCTGGTGAGCCCTCAACTGGGAATGTTGGAGGGAGGGCTGGGGTTGGGGAGTTGCCTTTTCTCTTCCCAGAATGAGTGGGATCAGGGTCCCCCCAGCCCATGCATTACCTTCATGCAAATTAGAAAAAGGCACTCCTTACTCTGGGCAGACAGCCCTGCACCAGGGAAAGCAGAGAGCCTGCTGGATTTCAGCACTCACCTGCTGCCTCGGCCAGATGCCCTTGGGAAGGGCACAGCTGTATGTGACGGCCTTGGCTGGGACCCCCAGGATCCCACTCATTCTCTCGCTAGGTCTCTGAGGGAATCCTGCTGTCCCCTGGCTGAGAGCTCTGACCCTTCCTCCACAGAGGGGGTCTGGAAGCAGACCAGGGGCAGCAGTGGACCACGTGGCTCAGGTGGCCAAGGTCCTGTCTCCCGCATTCCTGTTCTAGTCCCTCTCCCAGAGTGAGTGGTCGTTATCCCCGCAGCGACGTTGAGGTGGAGCTGACACCACAGAGACTGCAGTGCCCCATGGACATAGACCCTCCCCAGGAGATTCGACGGAGGTTTGGCAAGAAGTACGCCTGCTCCTCCCCTTTGGCCCAGGCAGTTGATCCATCTCCTTGGCATGCATACATTGATTCTATGGTGCCAGGCACTGTGCTAAGCACTGGGGGTGCAGGCAGGATGAATAGTTCTTGCCCAAGAATGTCACAGTCTGATGAGATAGTCTGGTACATTGATAATTACAATGTCCTACTGAGGAATGTTATACTAGTAGTAAGAGCAAGGGGCTTCAGAACTCAAGGAAGTGCTCACCTCTGCCTGGGAGGTCAGGGAGGCTTCCAGGAGGAGGTGTCCTTTGAGCCTCCAGTAAAAGGATGAGAACTGGTAGGAGCTGGGAGCTACTGATGACCACTTCGGAGGCTGTCCCTACACTAACAGCCGGCTTAAGGAATGTGGTATAACCTTTGGGGTCTGAATCCTGCTTGGTTTGAGTAACTTGACGCCCTTTTTTCCCCTCTGGGGAGCAGGGCTGCACTAGCGTTGGGTCCTTAGCCCAGAGCCAAGGCTTCCTGTCTCCCAGGGTAACGTCGTTCCAGCCCCTCCTGTTCACCGAGGCTCACCGAGAGAAGTTTCAACGCAGCCGGCGCCACCAGACGGTGCAGCAGTTCAAGCGCTTCATCGAGAACTACCGGCGCCACATTGGCTGCGTTGCCGTGTTCTACGCCATCGCGGGGGGCCTTTTCCTAGAGAGGGCCTACTGTGAGTGACAGCCGCAGGGGGGACAGGACTTACGGTAATTGATAGCCCTGGGGCTGGGGCCTGCGGTGAGTGACAGGCAGCCCCAGGGCGGGGCTGGCAATAAGCGACAGCCCTGGGGGGCGAGGCCTACGGTGAGTGTCGCATGCTGGGGGCAGGGCTTGCAATAAGCTACAGCCTTGGGGGCAAGGCCTGCTCCGGATGCTTGGAGCCCGCTGGAATGGAGACTGCGGGGAGGCGCGTTGTAAGTGGTGGCGAGCCAGGCCCTGCGGTTGACGTCCGTCAACAGCGCTCTGTCCTCTGCGGGGCTCCCAGCTTACCTGCCTGGGCCGCTCCGCAGACTATGCCTTTGCGGCTCACCACATGGGCATCACAGACACCACCCGTGTGGGCATCATCCTCTCGCGGGGCACGGCTGCCAGCATCTCCTTCATGTACTCCTACATCCTGCTCACCATGTGCCGCAACCTCATCACCTTCCTGCGAGAGACCTTCCTCAACCGCTACGTGCCCTTCGACGCCGCCGTGGACTTCCATCGCCTCATTGCCTCCACTGCCATCGTCCTCACAGGCAGGACCTGGGAGTCCCTGGGATTCTTCCCATGTCCTCCTGCCCCCTGCTGGCTTCCCCTCTCATGAGAGCCCCCTCCTCTCTACCTGCACTTAACTTGAGTGTAAGTCTGGGATGTCCTTCTCATAAGGATGGAGGTGGCCCCGGCAGTGGTGTGAAGTAGGCCCAGGAGCCCCTCACTGCCCCACCAGTGCCTCTTCCCACACTTTCAAGGCCACCGTGCCAGCCTCCAAATGATGAGTTACTAACACCCCAGAGTGAGTGTACATAATGTGTGATCTCTCCCAGTTTTTACATTTTAAACCATAATTCTGTGACAGAAACCAAAGGAGTGACCTTCTAATGGTATAATTTCAGACTCATGTGGTTTGTGTTCATGGATGGTGTGTATACAGGCCATGGGGAGAACAAGAAGTCCATTAGAGATCAGAAGTCCAGACCACTAGGACCCTTCTTCAGGCCCCCAACTCTGGCTGGCTGCTGTCCTCCTCCTTGGGTTGAGTGGGTTGAGCACCCCCACCAGGCTGCCCCCAGGCTCACTCCCACCTTGTTTGGTCTTCCTTAGTCTTACACAGTGCAGGCCATGTGGTGAATGTGTACCTGTTCTCCATCAGCCCACTCAGCGTCCTCTCCTGCCTCTTCCCTGGCCTCTTCCACAACAACGGGTGAGTGTGTGTGTGTGTGGTGGGGGGAGGGGATTCTTTGCAGGTGGAAAGAGGCAGATTCGCTTGGCTCAGAAGAGAGTGTCACCTTCCAGGTGATAGGACAGACGATGACCAGCCTGAGCCCCCGGTCCCAAGTCGACAGAAAGGGAGACTGGTGGTTGGGTTGGGTGCCTCCTCTGGACGGTCCTTTCTGGAAGTCCCAGACATCTCTCAGGATCCTTCCTTGCTTTCTCTTCCCCGCAGGTCTGAGTTCCCCCAGAAGTATTACTGGTGGTTCTTCCAGACCGTGCCAGGTGAGAGCCCTCGCTGCTCCATGAATTTCTGGGCCCGGTTCTGAGCTCCAGGCTCTGGGTTCTGTCTGCCACGGGGCAGCCCAGGCGCACTCACTTGGCTCTCACGCTGAGCCGGGCTTTGCCCTGGAGCCCTGAGGACTCTCCTGGGCAGTAGGAGATGTTTTCCAGTCCTTCTCTCAGGAGCTTGGCTGGCCTCCCATCCCAACTCTGAACAAGTTCCTCCCTCTGTGGAATGGGAGTGGACCCCCTCCACCCTCCAACACACACACCTGCCATGACAGCGCCTTTGAGGGATACTGTGCCCCAGCTGCATGGGGGAGGGACCAGGCTCTTTGTCAAGCCAGGCAGAGCCCCGCCCCCCTTGTACTCTGTCTCGACAAGGGCTGTTTAGGGGCATTTTCCTAACTCCTCGTAATCACTCACTTTAGAGCTATTAGCTGTGAATCTGTTCAAACACTTCTTGAACCTATTTCTATTTTCAGTTTGTTCCGTCCTTGGGGTAACACTTTTTCTACACTCGCTCCTCTCTGTGAAATACAGCATGGTTTTTCTTATTTTTTTAATCCTGAAACGATCTGCTTTGAACTTCAGAGAGTGCTTGCTAATTCCTGTGCGCTGGGATTTAGCGGATAAGGCTGTGCTGATGCGCTCTTCTCTGGTCAGGACATTACAGGCTTTGGTTAGATCCCTTCTTAACCTCTGCTTTTCCATACCGCAGGGCTCTAATCTTCCTGATTTCCGCCTGTCTCCTCCTTGATCAGCTGAGGGGCCATTCTCTGGTCCCTGCATTCCCACCCTGGCTTCAGCATTGCCCTTCTGTGTACCCCAGCCCTAGGATCCCTGGTGAGAAGAGAGGTCCCCCCACCAACTCCCGGCTGGATGCAGGGGGCTGTGGTGGTCTCACTCCCTCACTCATGGTGCCAGTGCTCATGCTGTGTGCTGGAGCAGCCAGGTGGACTGCTGTAGGGACACAGATCAAGCCTTGGCTCCATGAGGGCAGGGCCTGCAGTGTCCAGAGTCTAACCTAGAGGGGCCAGAATAGACACCCCGTACATGCGTTTATTCAGCACACATTTATAGAAGGCCCGTGGTGTGCCAGGCCCTACACTAGGCACTAGGATTCAGTGGTGAACTAGCTTAGCCTCGTCCCTATACTTGTGGACCTGAGAGTCAGGAAAGTGACAGACACAAAACAAATAATGACGCAGGTGCTTGAAAAACAACATCATGACAAGGTCTATGAAGGATGTGTAGGATCTGTTGAGATGAAATGTACCTGTAATCAGTCGTGTGGGGAGAGAGGAACAGAAGGCGGTTCTGGGCTTCCCCACTCCCTCATAGGACAGTGGAGTGGAAAGGGGACCCTGACCTCTGGCAGCCTCAGAATAGCCCTGCTCCTCTGCCCTCTACCCCATGTTTATTTTGCAGGCCTAACGGGGGTCGTGCTGCTCCTGGTCCTGGCCGTCATGTACGTCTTCGCCTCCCACCACTTCCGCCGCCATAGCTTCCGGGGCTTCTGGCTGACCCACCACCTCTACATCCTGCTCTACATCCTGGTGAGGGCTCTCAGCTCTGAGGCAGGCTAGCGGGGTCTGGGTAGGGCAATCCCAGGGGGCCAGTGAGGGCTGAGACATCAGCTCCCTGTCCCCTTAGTTATTTCAAGTATCCTCTTCACTTCTCACTTAAAAGATGGGGTTATGGAACGGGCTCTCAAGTAGACTGAGCCCAGTTTGTGACACTTGGGAGATGGACTCCCTGCCATGGGTTTTGCGGTGGTAGCCCTACCAGGCTGATCTGTGTTCTTCACAGACACCCCCACATCATTTCTACCCAGCCAGTCTTTCCCTACTTTAGATGGCTGCTTTGGGCTCCTGCCTGGACTGCCTACAGTCAAGGGAGCATCACCGTTTTTGAGAGAAACCTATCTTTACTGAGTTCTGCCATTTTTGTTCTGATCCTGTTTTCTGGGGTGTTAGCCACCCCACCCAGCTAAGTGCCACCTCTAAAGTTAATGAGCTTGCTCAAAATGTCTTTACTTGGACTGTTGATGACATGGATTGTTAACATTCAACTTGTCCCCTTTCCTTGGTAACCTGGGCTCCTGCCTCCCATCCTTCCCATTCTCTCCCTTTTCCTGTCCTGCTCCCTTCACTCTTCCCTGGCTTTGACATCAGCTGCTTCAGCTGGCTAGTTCCAGAGCTGACTCCGATCTGTGCCCCTGTGTCATGGCTCTGCCTGGCCTGCCTTCCTTACGGACACAGGCAGTTCCCCAAAGTGCACCCCCAGGGCCTTGTTGAGAAGCTAAACCAAGTCTTAAGGCCCTGATGTCCCCACTGATGATAGCTTGGCTGCAAGCATTCAAGAAGTGCACAGCGCATACAGCTGCCCTCTCTGTCGCCTGGCTCCAGGCAGGTGACACAGGGGTCTCCCTTGTCCTGAGACACAGGGAGAGTGTCCACTATTGCCTGGGTCAGGCTGGCGCCTGTGGTCAGCCCTGCCTCTTCTCAGGTGTAGTTCTGTCCTCACTGACAGGTGGGGGGGTCTGTTTCCACCTTGCCTGAGACTTGGCACTTCACAGTTCTGAAAATGACTACCCAGCCTTGGCTTAGGGTATTTCCTAGAACTCTTAATGTTTGTTTCCAAAGAAATCTCTCCCTTCTTTGGAAGCCGTGGCTAATTAATCCTTCCCTCTCTATTTTCCCAATAATGGGTGGAGCCTTGGGGTTACTGTTTCTGTTAGGGGTGGAGATGATATTCTTATTCCTGGTGAAAAAGCAGCTTCCTTGAGCTAGATGGGACACCCAGAAGAGGGGCCAGACTGGTTCCCTGTGACCAAGACCCCTTTCTGATTTATTCCTGGGTTTGGGGGATAACTGGGGTTCAGAGCCACCCTTCCTGCCAGCAGGGAACTCAGCAGCTCAGAAAGGTACAGGCCCTTCTGCTGGGCAGTCCTAGCCCTGGCAGATTGGGAATGGCTCACCTGGGGGGAGATGGGGGCCAGACCACCACTTCTTTCCCATTTACACTTGACTTCAGGAAGAGAAGTTTCAAGTCAAATACCCTAATGTGGAGTAGACCCTAGGGAAGGTTGTGCAGGCCCTGATCCAGGCCAGAGAGGGTGGGGCTCGCAGAAGCTGAGCTGGCAGGCTGTTCCTCCGGCTCTCCAGCTCCTCAGCCAGCCATGAGTCTGCAGCAGTTTTGTGGTTTAAAAGTAGAGCCAACACCAAATGGGGAGTATAAAACAGAGGGGTATGATGTCACCCTGACATTGCTCTCAACCTGATTGGATGTTCAGGAAGCCTTGGGGGTGGGCGTGGGCTCCACAATGAAAGAGAAACTTGGGGAACTGGGAGCCAGTTCAGAGAAGAGCCCAGAGAGGTTTAAGTGAGTCCTTTGGAGAGAGGCTTCAGAATCCAGGAGCACTCGGCTGGGGGAAGGGAGAGCTGCCTGAGGAACCAGAGTTCAGTTTCACAGTTATCTCCGGAGGGTCTAGCCTGTGCTAGTTCTGTGCTTGGCCCAGCAGAGGAGGGGAAGACTCTGAGCTCTGCCCTCAGGAACTTAGGATTTGCTGCAGAGACAAGTGCCACACACGAGAACTGATCAAAATGAGCAGAGAATATAGGACTAATTGTGAGCTAAGTGTTCCAAGAGTATACTACAGGAGCTCAGGGAAAGCAGTTTCATTTGCCCCAAACTGGTTTGCGAAGACTTTGGGGAGAAGATGGGACTTGGGCCAAGCCTTCAGGAGAGAGAAGCTAAGGTGTGACAGAGGGCAGAGTGGAAAATGAAAGGCCATCCAGGTAGAAGGAAGGGCCTGAACATAGGGGCAGGGCTGGGAATGATGATGGAACATTCAGGACACGGAGGAGACGGGCCTGGCTGCGGATGGCCACAGGACCCCCGGTGGTGGCCGGACATGGTGGACCTGTGCCGCTGCAGCTGAAGCCGAGGGACTGTGGCTCCATTGAGGCCGTGCCATGTGGGAGAGTTGGGAAAGCGTAGAAAGAGACGAGCAGAGGGTGAGGAAATCAGGCTTGGGCAACAACAGGATTGGAGGTGGGAGAAGGAACAGAGCCAGTGCAGGAGGTGGGAGTGAGCAGCCCAGAGGGAAAGGGGGAGAAGCAGCAGAGCATTGTTGCAGCCATGGCAAGGAGTGGGTGGTCACTAGTGCCACAGGCTGCCAAAGGTGGGAGCGAATGTGGTCTGAAAGGATACCTCAGGGTTTGGCCAGCTGAGAGCAGGTCCTGAGAAGAGGTGGAGGTGGGAGCCAGACTGAGCTGACTCAGGAGCAAGCGAGTGGGAAGGAAGGGGGCAAGTAGTGTCTGACCATGTGAGACCAGCCTGTTGGGGAAAGGACCAGAGCTGGACAACACCTGTCAGTTAATTTATGGAAAAGGGGGACTGGTGAGGTGTTCTTAGTCTCCAAAGGGAGAGGAAAAGTTGGAGAAACTCCTTCTTCGACTCAACAGGTATTGAGTGTCTCCCATGTACGAGGCAGAATCTGCTAGGAGCTGAGAGCATGGTGGCAAACAAGATGGACACGGTCCCCCCTTCTATAGTCCAGTGGGGCAAACAATAGCAAACATGTCAATGAACGATGAAACAAAAGTACTGTGGATGGGGGAGTGGTTAGGTTTGGGAACCTGGAAGGAGCGTGGCACACGGTGAGGCAGGGATCAGATGTGCAGTGGGAGAAGGAGGCAGAGGTCTACGGCCCGAGCTGGCCTCGGACCCTGTTGTGGATGTGGCTGGGTCTGACCTCCACTCTTCACTCCATCTAGCTTATCATCCACGGCAGCTTTGCTCTGATCCAGCTGCCCCGTTTCCACATCTTCTTCCTGGTCCCGGCGCTAATCTATGTTGGGGACAAGCTGGTGAGCCTGAGCCGGAAGAAGGTGGAGATCAGCGTAGTGAAGGCGGAGCTGCTGCCATCAGGTACAGACCCAGAGGCTGTCAGGGGACCAGATAGGTGGTACTGAGCAAGCTGATAGGGCACGTGCAGAGTCTGGACCTTGCAATCTCCTGGCCTGGCCCAGTGGAGTTGGCAGGGGCCCTGGGGTGGCAGGGACAAGGGAGCTGGTAAGAGAAGCTCTTTGCCCGGGGACCTGAGCCTCTTTCACAACAGAAAGAGGAGCAGCCCAGGCCAGCCTACCCCTTGCCCTGCTGACCACCAGCCCCGGCCCCTCCTCAGGGTGGACACAGCCCCAGAGAGGTAATGACTTCTGATGGGGGGAGGCCTCCACTGTCATATTTCAGAAGCAGAGCTGCAGCTGCAGGTGAGGGAACTCTCTGGAGGCCACATTGTTACTGGGTTCAGTACAGCAGCCTCCCACCTACCTCCCCTCCTCAGGAGTGACCCACCTGCAGTTCCAGCGGCCCCAAGGCTTTGAGTACAAGTCAGGACAGTGGGTGCGGATCGCCTGCCTGGCTCTAGGGACCACTGAGTACCACCCTTTCACGCTGACTTCTGCACCCCATGAGGACACGCTCAGCCTGCACATCCGGGCAGCGGGGCCCTGGACCACTCGCCTCAGGGAGATCTACTCACCCTTGACGGGCAACGGCTGTGCCAGATACCCGAAGGTGCCCAGACGCAGGCCACATGTACCACATGTTCCCACATCCCCTATCAGGCTTTGGTCCTGCAGCATCAGACTCCCCACTGTGTTCCTTCCCTCCCCCCCTCCAAAGACTGGTTGTTCTAGATAATACCACCACCCCCTTCTTCCCCCTCACTCCATAAACCTACTGCCTTTCCCTGCCTCCCATTTGTGGCTTCAGAACTATAGTGGTGGCTGAGCTTAACTCAAACCCACTCCCCTCTCTGCAGCTGTACCTCGATGGACCATTTGGAGAGGGCCACCAGGAGTGGCATAAGTTTGAGGTGTCAGTCCTGGTGGGAGGGGGCATTGGGGTCACCCCCTTTGCCTCCATCCTCAAAGACCTGGTCTTCAAGTCATCAGTCAGCAGCCAAGTGTTCTGTAAGAAGGTGAGTACCCCCTCCTCCCGCCAGCCCATGTCCCCTGCTCCCTATCACTGTGTCCACCTGTGCCTGTCTCTCCTGCCTCTGTTCTTGGCCCCCCTGATCTGGACAAGGCCACATTGGCCCGACCCCAGGGTGGTCAGAATATCTCCAGACCCTAAAGGACAGAGTTGGTTTGCTGATGCCTCCAGGCTTTTCCCCTCAGTTATGGGGCACCCTACATAGGAGTTGCTTCTCAGAGTCCTTCCCCCTTCTTACAGAGGAGGCCAGCACTGAAGCACTATTGGGCTGGGAGAGGGAGGGCACCCGTGGGGTGGGGCAGAAGCGAAACTGACTCTGCTCTCAAGGGGAAGAGGAGAAGAGGGGCGAGGCAGGGCTGGGGGCTGGGTTGGCTCCAGGAACACAGCCCAGGCCCTCAGGCCCCCTCTACAGTGGGCCCCTTTGCCCCAGCCTGGACCTGGTGGCAGGCCCCTGCCTGTTTCTCTGGGCCTGGCAGGTGAGTCAGGGGCGCAGGAATGCAGCAGGCAGAGGCCTAACCCATATGCTGTCAGCATTTGGAGGGTGACAGACAGCTCCCCTGCTCCTCTGGCAGCGCCAGCTCTGCCTCTGCTCCTTAACCCACACCGCCCCACTTCTCCCCATCAGAAGCTGGAGATGGGTCCCCCCAGGGGGGCTTCCATCCCTCTCATCTCTCTTTGAGCCCATTCTTATCTGTTCCAGGTAGTCAGCTGGGTCTTCCCTGAGGCTGTTCTGTGACACACCCTTGGTGGGACCCTCTCTTTCTGGGCTAAGTTTGGGTGGGAGCTTCGAAGCCTGAGGAGGACCCACTGGAGGGAGTGGCAGGGTAGGCTCAGAACGAAAAAGCTGCTTCCCACCCCCTCAGACCTTCAGCTCACTTGACAAGGGTCCTTTCTAATCGCCCCAAGCTATTTTCACACCCACCTCTCCATGTCCTGCGGCAACTCCATCTCCTACCCCAGAGCCTGGCCCTGTAGCCCCACATACTCCATCTCCCCAGGCTGTCTGGGGGGAGAGAGGCACAAGTTGGCCGAGACCAGAAGAGGTCTACTGGTGTGGAGATCCCTCAGATGGAGGGAGCCTGAGATGAGCTGGGTCCTAAGCTCCAGCTATGTGTCCCCAGATCTACTTCATCTGGGTGACACGGACCCAGCGGCAGTTTGAGTGGCTGGCTGACATCATCCGGGAGGTGGAGGAGAATGACTGCCAGGACCTGGTGTCCGTGCACATTTACATCACCCAGCTGGCTGAGAAGTTCGACCTGAGGACCACCATGCTGGTACGTCAGGGCCGGCCAGGCAGGGCAGCTCAGTGGGTGTGTGGTTGGCAGGGCAAGGCAGGATGGCCAGGGTAGATGGGCAGACAGCCAGGTTCAGTTGGCAGGAAGCACAGAGCTGGTGGCCTATATCCTCAGCCTCCAGCTTCCTCCCCACCCCAGTCTCTGTCTCCTGAGCTGCAGGCTGGCTTGGGCTAGGCACTGACCCTAATTGTCCTTGACCTGACCTTCCCCTCTGCCCCCAGTACATCTGTGAGCGGCACTTCCAGAAGGTGTTGAACCGGAGTCTGTTCACAGGCCTGCGCTCCATCACCCACTTCGGTCGCCCCCCCTTCGAGCCTTTCTTCAACTCCCTGCAGGAGGTCCACCCACAGGTCAGTCCCTACCTCATATCCAGGTTCTCTTCACCTTTATCATCTTGGGTCTGAGCAAAGCTCCCAAACCTGCTCCCTCAGGGAAAGAATTGATTGCTCATGAGCACCCATCCCCTGGGAGATTGGCGGGGTAATGGAATGGACAAGGAGAAGTGGGGATCACCCTGAGCTAAAGGGGGAGGCAGGTGACAGAGAGTTGCTACTTCTGAAGCCATGACGCCTTGTCCAGAAGGAAGAGCTCAATGATTGAGCTAGTCCCCACGATAAACTCCAAGCTGCCCTTACCATTAATACTGAGCCAGCCCTCACCCTGGACCCTGAGCTCATCTTCACCATGGACATTGGGCTAGCCACTACTCTCATGAATACTGGGCTAGCCCTCATTGAGACACTAAGCTATCCCTCAACTTGAACATTGATTAACCTGGCCCCTATTAGAAACACCGATTTTGCACTTGAAGCTGGCATATGCCTTGGAGGCGGTAGAGGCTAGACCCACAGAGAGCAAATCTACCAAAATTGAGCTAGACTTAGAAACAGAGTCAACCCTCACCATGGATGGTAGGAAGCAAACCTTCCTCAGGAACACGGAATGAGCCCTCACCAAGGACTCTTGCTGGTCTTTAACACGCACACTGAGCTAGCCCTCCCTCTGAACACTGAGCTAGCCCTCTCTCTGAACACTAAGCTAGCCCTGACTTCTTCCTCCCACAACAGGTCAGGAAGATCGGGGTGTTTAGCTGCGGCCCCCCTGGCATGACCAAGAATGTGGAAAAAGCCTGTCAGCTCATCAACAGGCAGGACCGGACTCATTTCTCCCACCATTATGAGAACTTCTAGGCCTCCTGCCCAGGGGCTCCACCTACTGCCCAGCTGAGCAGAGGTTTGGGCCTGCACCTCACCTCTGTACTTCCGGTTTCTGCCTCCGTCAGCCTTCTCCCCATTCCCACCTCTCCACCTTGATCCAGGTGGCCATGGTCAGTCACCCATGTGGGTTCAGGGACCTCCCAGGCCCAGAATGTCTCAACCTGGAGAAGTGGGAGGCACTGTCTGGAGACTAGAGGTTGGGAGGTAGGAGAGCTATTATTGCTTTGGGGCAAAGTGACAACTCTTTTTCCAAACTAAGGGAAAAACTCAAAAGATGAGCGGACAAGTAGTGTGTGTGTGTGTGTGTGTGTGTGTATGGGGGCTGTGAGCCTAAGGAAGTAGGGGCACAGATGCTGGCATCTTAGAAGCCCTTCCCTAAAACCTCCCCCTCCCCACAGGGTTCCCCACTGCTAAAGGGCTGGCAAATGCCTTGGAGTGGGGTAGAGGCTGGACCCACAGAGAGCAACTTACAGGAACCCCCTCGGCACCCCGGTCTAACAGCACAATTGATCTTCTCTCTCCTGTTTTTAAACGTCCTATAGTCATAACCTGGCCCAATCTCTATGTGGTGCTCCTCAGCCCTTCTCACCTATTCCTGCCCCGATAGTCTCCTTTACAAATAAACCACTTTCCTGCTCTTTGGGTTTCTTTATTCTGCCCCAGGATGGGGTGGGTACTGGCAGAGGAAGTCACTCACCCAGCCAGCTAACCTAGGCTGCTGCAGACATTCTCTCTGAACTTGCCAGTATCCACTGAATAAAGGAACCCGCACAAGGCCGTGCCCCAGCTGGAGACCCCTTTCCGGGCTCAGGTGCACCCCTCCTGACAGAGAGCCTCTCAGGGTGGCTAGTGTGGGGCTTCTGAAGCCTGATCAGGAGGGGCAGAGAGAGAAGGTGGGCTGGGACAAAGGGGAGTGGAGGTGGGGACACAGCAGGAACCTACAGGGAGCCAGAGTTTCCCTGGCTTGCCCCAGGACTGCAGCTCTCCCAGCCTTTCTCTGAGCAACGGGACAGTTGAGCACCTGTGCCTACATGGCCTTCCAGGTGGGGAGATGACAACGAGGAGACAGATGAGCACATTACCTAACCTCTTTGGGCCTCTGTTTTCTCAGCTGCAAAATGACTGAATGCCCTCCAAGTCTACTTCAAGATAGGGCAACCCTCTATGAGGGAATTTCTTACATTTGTCAGATCACATATCCTCCATTTCGATAAAATAGCGATTGGATTAGAAAATCCAGAGTCCCATGTTTCACACTTGGGAGTTGCAGATGTGGGTTCTGGAGGCGGTCCTCAGACTGCCCCCCCCCCCCCCCCCCCCCCCCCCCCGGGCAGCAGTGCCCCCAGAGTGTGTGTTCAGCAGTCGGGGAGTTGCTGTTCCCCTTGCCCATGGGAGCGGGAGGGCGGGCCTGGAGTGGTTGGACAGCAGCTCCGCCCGGCAGCCCCGTGGGCATCCCGGGCGCTGGGCCCCAGGCCTCGGCTGGTTCCAGCTGTGGGCGCGGGCAGGGGCGCCGCCAGGGCAGCGGGCGGGTGTGGCCCCGCGCCTGGGCCAGCGCTTAGATGCCCGGCCCGCAGGGGGCGCGCGCGGACGGCCCCGCCAGGTTCGGCCGCGAGCCGGAAGCTGCCGCCGGGAGGGAGGTGCGGGCCGGGGCGGTAGGCTGCAGGGCTCCGGGGCCGGACGCATCCGCCAGGGACGGAGGGAGGCGCGGCAGGCCCCCTTCCTCTAGAAGGGAAACGCGGTCGGCGCGCGGCTTCCGCGTGGCAGGGCCGCCCCGCTCCCCTGCCTGGCGTGCTGCCTCTTTGTCTCTCCGCGGCCCCCTCCTCCCCGACACATGGCTGCTGGCAGGAAATCCGAGACGCTCTGGGGCGCCGCGCTCCTCTGCGCCGCGGGGAGGGGGCGCGCGCGGCCGACCGGCTCCGGGTCTCCCAGCCAGGGCGGGGGCGGCGGGGGATGTTGTGACATCTCGTCAAAGGAAGGAACTTGATGCTTCGAAAGTGCTTTTCGCAGCCGGCCTGTGCCTGCTCCCGAGCTGACTTATAAACAGAATCTGTGCTCGCTTCGCCGCTCCCTCCCCTGGCAGGCCGGGGGCGGTGCTGGAGGCGCGGACGCGGCTGTGCCTGGCAGGAGGGGGTTTATTTATTGCCTCTGGCCGGGAGCCGGGGCGGCCCCGGGCCTGCACAAGTTCCCTCCGGCTCGGACCTCCCCCTCCTCTCCCCAACCCCAGTGCCGTCTCTGTCCCAGGGGTCTGCCTTCCCCAAGCACCGCACCGAACTCTGGGCGGAGCCCGCCGCGGGGATGCGGGGGTAGGTGCCGAGATGCTCAGGGAGCCCCGCGGGCCCGCGTCCGGCTCCACCCTGCACTGACCCGGGGGGAGAGGGTGATGGGAAGGGGGTCGCCACCTCTGCCCTAGGGGCGGAAAGGGGCTGCAGCTGCCGAGCTTAAACTCCTCAGGAGACCAGCGGTTCTGATGCCCCTTCCTCCAGGGGCTCTTTCTCCCCAGGGATTCCTCTATCCGCAGCTCCAGACAACCTCTTACTCCAAGGTGCCAGGAGCCCTTCCCTTTTAGAATAAATTAAGGAATCTCCAACTCCAGTCATCCCAGGGAGAGGGGACAAAACGTTTGGGAGATCATGTCCCCGGGAAGGGCCACAGTCCTCAGGCTGGGGACGGGCATAGGGCTGGGTCCTGATCTGTCACAGTGCCCGGGCCTCACATCTACAGAGTCCGGATGGCCACGGGGTAGAGCAGGGACATGTGCTCGGCCCCCTTAATGGGCAGTTTGCGGCTGGCGTAGTGGTGCACGATTTCAGGGACGCTGCTGAAGGGCGGGCTGTTCTGGCCCAGCACGTACTTGTGTTCCTTGGTCCGGGACAGCTTCATGTGCATGAAGCCCTGACTGCTCCTGGGAAGAGGAGAGGAGACCCTGGTGAGTGGTGGCCTTCTCCAGAGCCCCTCCCCTCCCTACCCCACAGCAAATGTGGTTGTTCCAAGCCAGCTGAGAGTGGAGGCAACTACGGAAGGTGGACGTCAGTCCAGAAAGCAGGGAGCGGGCGGACGGGATTTTATGAGTAGGTAGCAGTCGGCATTGGCTTTGTGGTAAGAGGAACGGGTGTGCCAAGAATGCGTGTGCAGTGAGTATACAGGGTGTGTGCAGGTGGAGACCGGAGTGACCAGCAGCCCCCACCCCCACCCCAAACCCTGGGATCCAGGCACCCCTGCCTTCCAGCCTATGTGGCCAGGGCCGGTTTACCCTCCCACTCCCTGAGCTATGGGGGAGGACACCTATGGTGACTCATGTGGAGACACAGACACCCTTGGCAGGACAGTGGGTGGACAGATGTGACAACCAAGTGAATCTTGGTTGGGGCTTTCTTTTGCAGAGACTGGGGAAAGAGCTGCTCTGGAAGTCCCCCCCCAAATCTGGGGATGCTCAGCTCCCTCATCCTGGGGACATCCCTTCACCCTCCCGCTAACTGGGCCTTGGGCCAAGCCCCCAGCACATCTATCCAGCCCTTCAGCCTGGGATGACATCATTGGTGAGGCTGCAGTTCCATTCCCTCCCTCCAAGAGGACTCGCTCCACTGCCTCTCCCATCTCCCTGCCACAATCCGGGAAATCAGCATTACTGCCTGGCCCTGCCCACAAGGCGAGGACTCCACTGCTCAGAGCTCTGGCCAGCTCCCAGATGGCTGGGCGTCCTCAGGCTTAGAGGGAGAGCACTGAGGGGGGGCTCCAGCAAGAACATTTGTCCAACTACTATAGGCCTCGTCTGCCAAGCCCAGGTCTGAAACTCACCCACAGGCAAGGAGGAAGCCATGCTTCAGGGAGCCCTGAAGCCTGGTGTTTGTCTCTGCTGGTCAAGGACAGGGCTCAGAAGCTGGTGTGGGAAGTAGGTCACGATGCGGAGGCCCCCACCCTTGAGAGGTGAGGCTGGCCAACCTCCTCACTTGCCTCGCCCTTGCCACAAAGAGGGCTCTGACTGGACCCATTTCCCTAGGCCCACAAGTGAGAAAGCAGAGAGTGGGGTGACTGAAGAGAGGAAAGGGATGGGAGGAAAAAGCAGGCCCTTAAATCTGTCCCCTCCCCTCCCCCCCAGCGTATGGTGCCCCAAAGCCTGCTGGGGCCCCAGGACTGGGTGTGTGTGTCAGGGTGTGGAGCCATCCTTCATCTGCAGGTCTGAGATAACCGCTGAGGCTGACAGTGACCATACAGGCCCCGGGGAAAGGAGCCAAGGACCTGGGGAAAACGGACAGCCCCTGAGGGCAGTAGAGAGGGGAAGCAGTGAGTGGTCACCCTCCCCTGTCTACCCTAAGCCAAGGCGCAGGCCCAAGGCTATGGGTGGCGGCATGGGCCTGCCTTGCCGGCCCTCTCACACTTTAGGGACAGCCCCCTCCCCACAGGCTACTTGAGGGAATCACCTCTCCTGAAAACTGTGCATTATACTTTCTCCCTGAGGGACAGATCTGGCCAAGAAGGGCAACAAGTGGCCAGAGAACTGAGCTGGAAGCTGAGAGCTCAGCCTCTGTCTAGATCACCCACCTCCTGGGACAAAGTCCCAAGGGTCCATTAGGACACAGCAGAGCCCTTGCTTGACCCTCAGGGAGCCGGGGGGGACTCTCTGGGCTGCAGGGCCAGGGCTGGCATGGCTTTTGGAGGAAGCTGTTTAATTACCAGTGAAAGTCCTTCCTTTACAGAAAGAAGAGAAACCATAATTGTATTTCAGAGAAGCCATTTATATGCAAATGAGGCCCTGGCAGACAGACGCTGGCGGGGCTGGATCAGCCTGGGCTGGAGCAGAGTCCAGGCCTGCCTCCTGATTCGACTCCCCAGGCTAAGGCAGGGCCCAGGAGCCCTCCTCTGCTGAGGGAGCCAGACCCCTGACGTCTGCCTTTGCCTTACACCACAGCAGGCTTGAAGAAGGGTGGAACTACGCAATAGAACAGTGTGATTCTCGGAGTCAGACTGAGCTGGGTTCAAATCCTGCTTTTGGCTCTTTATTAGCTGGTAGGCTTAAGCAAGTCATGTATCTCTTTGAATCTATTTTCTGTCTATAAAAAAAGAGATTGATCTTGCAGGATAGTAGCTCGTTTGGAGATGGTATGTATGCTGCTTGTCACATTGTAGATGCTCTAAGAATCTTAACTAGAATTTTTAAAGCAACATACATTCCTGAAGTTACAGAAATCAAATTTTTGACAAATGAATTCTTCCTAAATGCTCCTTTGATTTTATGATAATTCTCAGACTCCCAGAGAGCTGGCAGAAGAGGCATCCATCAACACATGCTGCAAAGGGAGAAACTGAGGCCCAGGGAGGTTAAGTGATTTGCCTAGGGCCACATAGCTAGTTTGATTAAACCCAAGAATAAAACTCCGTTCATCTGACTAGAGTCTGGCGTTTTCCTATTAACTTTCAGTGAAGTTGAATAATTAGCCTCATATGTACCTGTTTAGTCCCAAATGTCCATATATTGGATTTGAAGTAGGGGTATACCTGCACTGTAATGCCCCAGAAAATGTGGTAGGAAGTGGTACAGCTGCCCCAGGAGTGATGGGGGGATGTGAATGGACATACCACTCTGACAGGCTGCTACCCGGGGTGCAGACAGAACTCCCGGGCGCCAAGGAGAGGACTGGCCATCCTGCCAGGAGAGTGAGCAAGGCTGATGCTGCACTATGGATATCTGCTCCCGGGGAGGACTGCTGATGGGAGGCGAGGGCCCTGCCTCCCCTTCCTCTTCCATGACCCTTTAAGCTCAGTTGTCAGCCACTAGCACCCAGACCTCCTGCCCGCTTCTTCAGGATGAACAAGAATAGCTTTGTGTCCACTGCTCCACCCTCCTCCCAGGACCCAGCGTCCATCTTACCCTGTAGACTCCCTCGGGCAAAGTTCCCATCTCCTTGCCTGTGCTTCTAGAACATCTCAGACTTTCTTTAATAATAAGGATGGTGATAATTTATTGAGCACTTAGCACCATACTAGGTGCTTCCCATACATTATTTCATTTAGTCCTTCCCTATAAGGTAGATATCATTACTCCCCCATTTTGTAAGTAAGGAAACTGAGGCCCAGAGAGGTTATGGGGGCCCCAGGCCACATAGCTAGTGAGTGACAGAATCCTTCTGAGCTGGATGCTGTAGCTCGACTGTTTCTTCCAATAGACTGAGCTCCCGGAGAGCAGGCACTGAGCCTCAGACCTCTCCTGATCCCCAGGCCTGACCCAGTCGGCAAATGTTCACGGGGGTTGGGATTCTCCCCAGCTTGGCTGGACTTGGGGGTAATATTGGAGTCTCCTCCTGTCCTGCTGGTTGTCCTCCCACCAGTTCCCCTTGGTGCCATCCTGATATTCTCATCCTGCCTAAAGCCAGCAGCTGGGCCGCCCCCACTCACTTGAGGGACAAGGAGAAGTCATTTTTGCTGGTCTCACTGTTGCGCACCAGGTAGCTGGCCTCTTTGCACAGCCGGAGCAGGTTCTCGGCATCTGTTCGACTGATGGCCCCGTGGTACCAGCTGAGGATGAGAGAGAGGAAGGGGGGCATCTCTGCTGGGTCCCTTGCCATCCAGGCCCACCCATTCTGGATGTCCCCTGCAGGCAAGCCAGTGCCAGGAGGGGAAGGGAGGGGAGAGTCCCCAGCTGGACACAGACACTCACACCTGGTTTTCCAGAGGCAGTGCTGGGTCTGTCCACTCCCCCAGGGGGCTGCTGGGCTCCATGCTTAGGGGCTTGGCTGACTTGGGGTTCCCTGTAGAGAGTCGGGGAGGTAGCCGCCCCTTCTCCTCCCGGCCAGGTGACAGGCAGCTCTTCTCAGATCCTTCAAACTGGGCTGTGGGGAACATACCAGTCATAGACTCTGAGGACCCTAGTGGTAGAGCCCTGTAGAATAGCCAGTGCCCCACCCCCATTTCCTACGGGAAGGGGTCGAAGAATGTTCTGGAAAGGCGGGGCATGCTATGGGCCTGACTGGCTCTGGGGACAGAATCCTGGATCCATCCCCCAGTCCAGGTGGGGGTCGGGGTAGGGTTTAGCTCTGCTGTGCCACACAAGGCCTCCCAGTCCCCACACTGTGGGAGGAGAGGGGAGAGGAGCAACGTGAGAAACCACTTAAGCTTCTCCCTCTGGAGCCACTGACTGCCTTCCTCTATTCCATCCCCCTCAGGGTGGCTTCAGTGCTGATAATATTGTTTCTTTCTCCTCCTCAGAGTTCATTACCGTTCTCCAAATCACCCTGCCAAGCCATTCTGTAGAAATGACTTATCGATCTGAGAACAATTATCCGATTCTCCTTGGTGCCATCCTGACAGGCTAATCCTGCCCAAAGCCACCAGCCGGCCCGCCCCTCCCCCACCCCAAGGTCGCTGCCCACAGGGTCCCCTCCCCCACCCACAGGAGCCCAGTCGAGGCAGCTCTGCCCTCCAAAACCAGGGCAGGCCTGACCGCTGAGCCTGCACAAGGCAGGGCTGAAGCCGGGGGCCACAGGGGCACAGGTGACAGACACCCTCCTTCATCCTGTATGTACAAAACACCCACTCACACTCAGGCACAGATGTACAAGCAGGGGCTCACACCTGTGTACACATTCACAGACCCACGCACACACCCGTGGCTGCCCATTCTGGGTAAAACTGAACATAGAGGAAGTGTTCCGTGCCTTCTTTCTCCCCGTTTGGGCTCTTTTTTCCTCCTTGTAGCACTTTCAAGCCCTTGTTATCTTTCAGTCACCAGATGCAAGGATCGGATCCTTTCCTGTACTCTAAGGAGTTGGACACTTCCTGTGCTGGCATCGCCCCACCTCAGGAGTTATTTGCATTGATGAGGGATCTGGTCAGGCGAAGCTCTACCCAAATGAGTGAATTTAAAGTAGTGGATTTTTGTGGCATGGTGGGGACGGTCGTATTTGGAAGGGGCCTCCCTGAGGAGACACCTTCCCCACACCTTTGGGGGAGGGAGGAACGTGTGCTCTGCCCCTTCGCTCTTCCTCCAGGATGAGAGGGCTCCTTCCTGGATTCTCCAAAGCACACCCCACCTCTCAGCTCCTCCAAGCCAAGCCCACAGGGCCTGAGGGGTGAAAGGACACGTCACCCTGGCCAGAAGCCCCCACAGGACCCACCGCTGCCATCCTCCAGGCTGGGCTCGGGGAGGGGTGAGGCTGGACCGGAGATGTCCCTGTCCCCGTCGGGCAGGGAGGGGCTGCTGTCCAGCTGTCCCACAGGCGGAGGCCAAGGTAGGTCTTTGATGACCTTAATGTCAACTGGAGCCAGAAGCAGCAGGGAGAAGAGAGACAGACAGGGACAGAAACAGAGACAGAGACAGAGAGAGGCAGAGGTTGAGACACCAAAACCCAGAGCCAGGACACAGGACAGCCTAGAAAGGAGGAGGGTCAGAGCAGAGGCAGGGGTGGCTTCTGAGGGAGGAACAGGACCCTCAGAGGGCTGAGTGGAGCCATACTGACCACACCAGGCTGGCCTGGTCAAAGGGTGGAGGCTCAGGTGGCAAACAGCAGGAAACAGCTCAGGCACACAGGTCTTGCTCTGCCAGCCCTGCAGGTCCCCTTCATTTGACCTCTCCCAAGCCTCCAGGACCCAAAGGGACCAGGAAAGGAGGAAAAGAGGGACAAGGAGCTGCCCACACCTCCTGGCACCACACCCAGGTTCCCACAGCCTCCTGGCACCCCTAGCCTTGCCTCCCTTCCTCCTTTTCCCTGTGAGACTGAGCCAGCCCGGCTTCAGGCTGTCAGGACTACTCAGATGTGGGGCAGATGTTTTATTGAAATTTAGCCCTCACACCCTAATCCTGAGCCTTGACAATTAGAAGAGTGATGCCACTGGCAGCTGCAGGACTGCTAACGAGGTTTCCTAATGACGAGCATAGATTTTCCCATTAAGCAAGCCAAACAGTATTGATTCTCCAAGGAGACTTCTGGAGATAAACGGCCCATCCTCAATGGTGCACGCTTTACAGGAAGCAAATTAGAAACCTGTGGTTTCCCAGTCTGGCTGCCAGAGTGGGGAGGACAGAGCAGAGAGCTGAGTCCAGCTCCAGGGTGAGCCCCTTGCCCACGGAGGGGTGAGAGGCACATGGAAGCGAGAATGACGTCTAATGGCATTTAAGTCCTTTATATTCTCACTGAATCCAGGATCCAGGAGCTAAAGCCATCTCCGTATTCCAGGCTCTTGTGCCACCCACTCAGACCACCAACACATACCCCTCCATCCCAGGCCTGGGATGGACATTGGGGTGTTTGGTACAGGAGAAACCTGATCCTCATTCAGCAAAGGAGACCTCACAGCCTCCCTCTCCCTACTGGTTCCTGCGCCTCAGAAATCCCCCTGGGGCTAGGCACGTCTGGTCTGGCACAGCACAACACTGGGAGACACAGCCCTTTAATTCAGGGCTGGTGTCTCTAAAGGTTACACACACAGTTATTTTCATTGTCGGGAGTGTTAAATGCCCCCTTTTGTTACGTGTAAGTATTTAACATATGCCACAAGTTTTATCATTTTGTTTGGAATGTCTTTATTTTTAAATGTACCCAGCCTCCCAAAAGGCCCAATCCTCATGGCCTCATAGAGGTGGTGATGCAGGGAGATGCCTTCATCCTTCTCCCATGCCCATTCCCTGATCCGCACACAGTGCTGCGTCCACACCACCCAACTCACCACTCTCCATGGTGCAGACTCAACTCTGCTTCCCTTGAGCCCAGCTCCTGGGCCTCCCTGGCCCCTGGGGTCCACTCCTTCCACTCCCCTGAGCCTGCTGCTCAGAGGCCCAGCAGACCTGCCCTTTACACCCAGGACTCACCTGCGAAGGCTTTGGAAATCCTCTCCTTCTTCCACTCCCAGGGCTGGTCATACTCCTCAGGGGGCCTCTCGTCATCCTCGGGCAGGCGGGACTCCCGGGGCCAGGGGGCCCCCTCACCCTCCGGGGTGGCCCCCTCCTCCTCTGGCTCATAGGGTGTGTCGTACAGAGGCAGGGGCTGAGCTGCTGGCTCCTTGGAGCCCCGGATCTCTGCCAGAGCAATGCAGGAGGGGGAGTGTGAGAGCAGTGCTGGCTGCCTGGCTCAGCTCCTCCGGCAGTGCTCCCTAGCAACGAGCCAAGCCTCCCTCAGGGGAGATGCTGTCGGCTCTGGGGGGAGCCCAGTGGCCACACACCTGGGGTCCCTCACCCTCAAAACACCTCTGGAGTTCCAAAAGCATGGCACCCAAAAGAAGCAGGGGCAGAGAGGCACCAGAGTAAAAGACAGAAGAAAGATCCTGCGAGGGCTGCAGAGTAGAGGCTCACATATTTGGGAAACTGAGGCAGGGGGCTCTCCTAGTCCATCTCCTCCTTGATACCCAGCTCCATTTATTTTCTTGTGTCCCAAGTGATATCATTTCACAATCAGAAAATCCTTCTTTGTTGCTCAGATTCTGCCGACCACCCCCTCTCCTTGAAACTTTCCCCTTTGACAAGTCATTTTCAGGGACTGTACTCCTCTCTGATCGCCCCATTTGGTGTCTTTCCCCACATCTTCTCTTGGTCTCTATTCCCCAGGGCCAAGTCTTACTCATTCTTCCCTGCCCTCACTCCTTGAACTACTTGCCCAGGCTCATGACACCCTTTGCATCTATACGTTTCCAATTGCCATAAAGATGTTTCACCTTGATGTTTCAAACTCACCACTTCCCCTAAAAGTTCTTCTAGTCTGTTCTGTGATTCTCTTTTTAGGATCATTGACTCCAGAGAAAATCTGATAAAAGCTACGGAGCCATTCCCCAGAAAAATGTGCAACTTTTCACGTACAATTCCAGGGCACTTGTGGACCTCCTAGGGGTCCACCCCACTCTGATCTGAATACAGTAGCCATCCTCTCACTTTCTCCATTTCTGTCCACTATACTGCTCTCCTTGGTCCTGGCCTCCGTCATTCTCTGAATCCTATCTGTTCATTGCCAATACCTGATGACTCTCACCCTCATCTCCCCACGTCTAGATTACTGCTAGGGTGAACCTCCATTTCATGGACTCCATAGACTAACACTCCTGACCACTCTCTGCACCCCACCCCCCCCAACTCTCCCAAGGAGGGAGAGCAGCTTATCTGATCAGCCAGTGGATGCTCGCTCTCTTTCTCAGATCTGCCTTCTTGCAGAGAGAGAACATTCTGGTTCTTTCTCATCCTGCCCCCATGCAGGGGCCTACAGCTGTCCTGTGTTGCCCAAGCCTGAGTGGGCAAGTTTAATTCTGTGGCAAAATATTAAGAAGCCTATTATGGTGACATAATTAAGTAATGTTCTCCAATCAACTTTATCAGTAATAAAAGTTGACATTGTTATCTCCATCTGTTTCCTTAATCTTATCTCTCAATTATTTCTAAGCTCAGGAGGGGAAGAAAGAGGTGTTAATTATTGGTTCCTTAAAGCCTCAACAGTTTCCACAATAGCCTGCTAACTCATCTTTCTGATGCTCAGTTCTTCTAGTCTGTTCTGTACACCAAAGCCTCAGCAATCCTCTTGAAAAGCCATGTTCATCCTGTTCCTTTCTTGCTCAAGAATCCATAATGGCTCCCCTCCTCCTTTTGGAGCAAGTCCAAATGCCTCATTCCAGCCTTCAAGGCCCTTCACTGCCCCTCTTGGCCTCTCTCATCTTGGCTCCCCTGTATGCCCAGCACTAAGCTTATTTGTCTCTGAACGAAACTTCCTCTCATCCTGCCTTGGGGCCTTGCCTTAGACTGACTCACCCCATCCTCCTCTCTGATCACCCTGTTTGGTCTCTCTCCCTGGATCCTTTCTTGACCTCTGTTCCCAGGACTAGGTCTTATTCATTTCTCCCTGCCCTCACTCCTTGAACTACTTGCCCAATCTCATGTGTACTGCATCTGCATTTCTAGTCATGTGTTTCCAGTAACCATAAAGATGTTTCATTTTGACATCAATTATTTCAAACTCACCATCTTCCCTAAAGCTAGTGATTCTCTTTTGGTCATCAATGACCCTCAGCCCATACCACTATCTTGCCCTTCCTGACTATCTCAAATGCTTCTATCTGTCTGACCTTTGGTTGTGTGGCCTTCTCTACTGCCTTGGATCTTACTCACCACAAGTTACAGCTCCTTCTCCAAAATGACTATCTCGAAGGCAGTGGCCACCCTCCCCAAGGACCCAGCAAAGGCCTTCCTCATATTTTCTAGGGACCAAAGAATCAGTTCTTAGACTTGTGAGTCTCACAGCCTGTTCTGCAGATACCCAGGCCTCAGGGATCAACCCCTCAAACCCCTCACCCCCAAATCCATCACTCACCGGCCATCATCTTTTGTGCCTCATAGGGCTCCATGTAACCATCATTTTCGGGGACCTTCTCTGGGGCTCCTGAAGCTCCTGCTGGGCCTTCACCAGTCTCCTGAACATCGAACGGGTCCGCATAGTCTTCTAGGATTGCCAACTATGGGAAGAGAGTGAGGAGAGCAGGCTTCAGACATCTGAAAGACAGCTCTGCTTTTCCCCAGATGCCCTGCCCATGGGAGCAAGAGTCCTGGGCAGGCTGCCTTAGACTGGAGCCCCAGGTACCCAAGGGTAGGCTCTAAGCTTAGATGGGGACAAACTCGGCTCTTCCTTTGCAGGTGTCCCCTACTAGGCTGCCAACAGAGGGGTAAATCTTTCTTTTCTGTTAATTTTGAGTCTCTGGGCCATTTCCTAGGCTAAATGGCCAGGATGAGGCTCTGGGCCATAATGCCTGCCCCAGCCAGGGTGCAGGCAGGACAAGAGCCTACACCAGGTGGTTCAACAGAGGCAATTTATTCTGAGAACTGATTACAGAGGTGTTGGAAGAGTTCAAAGAGCAAGCAGGGAACAGTAGGCAACTTGGAAATTAGCTTGGTTCCTGCCTACCAGTGTGTTCACAGATGCTGAACAAATAAATATTTGCTGACCACCGAGGATGGAAAGACTGAGTACTCACTTTATGCCACGGTTCTGCCGGTTTATCCTCTCAACAGCCATCACAACATCATGTGGTTATTATTATCCCCATTTTAAGGAGGTGGAGGCTGAGGGCAGGTAGGGAACAACATGCCCAAGACCATTCAGCAGAAGTGGAGGAACCAGGATTGCAACCTGTGCCCTTTGTGCAAAATCATGCTGCCAACCTGCCACGAGTGGGCATCTTGGCCATCCTGGGAAACAGACCACCTTAGGACAGCCCTGAGGAAAGCCAGGATTTGGGCTCTGCTGAACTCCCCTGGGCTCCTGAAGGGCAGGAACTGGAAAGGCCTCGCCTTGGCCCTCCACATCCCACGCTGCCCTTTCTCCCACAAAGGTGGCTCATGGCCACCCCTCTGTCCCTGTTCCCAGTCAAAGCAGAGCAGACTGCAAACTGCACACCCAGCAGAGGAACTCAGGGTGCTCAGGGCAGGGCGCAGCTGAGGACAATAGAGCCTTTCTCTAAGCTGGGCACAGGCTCCTGGGGGGGTGGGGCAGGGACCAGCTGAGGCAGAGACAGGGCCCAGCCCACCCAGGGCTGCCAGCACCTCCAGGGGAGCATTGCATACTGGGTTGACAGATGTTGACAAGAGGTGGCCCCAGGGCCTGTGGTGTGGGGAGGGGCTGCTCCTGCTTCTGCCCCATTCTCAGTCTAGGCTTTGGTACTGGACCAGATCAGGACTGTGGGAGGCAGCTGGGCAGGGAGGCTCTGGGGGTGACAAACCTGTCCTGGGCTAGAGGATCTGGGACCCTTAGCAAGGCAGCGATGGAGAAAGGAACTTTCTCACCCCAGAGACCCCTTCTGCATGTTCCTTGGACCCCTGCAAGCCCCTCTAGGGGTCTCTGAAGCATGTCCCAATGGCTCCTACCACCTCATCCTTCAGTTCTTCAGCTCCCACCTTGTTCCAGGCAAGCCACCCAGCTCCTTTACCTACCTTGAATGTCTGTCTGCTTCTGAAAAGACCACGTCTCAGATCATCCCAGCCCCACCATCAGATCATCCATTAGCCTTGAGCTCTTTGCCATTTTTGTCTCTCTGGCTCCAATAAACACCCACTCACGGCAGGCACCAGAAAAAGGTTTCTACTAGATCACTACCTATGTCCCCTTGGAGCCCTCTACCCCTAGTCCACCTTCCTCCAGGAAGCAGAGAAAAGAAATCCACTCCCACAGCAAGCTGCCTCCTCCCAGGCCAAGTGGCACCCACAGGCCCACCCACTTGACCAAGGGGGCTCTGGAGCCAGCCCATTGGGTACCCAGCCCAGTGGGCATCCAGCCTCACACTCATATGTGGCAGCTACTAGACAGTAACTTAATCAACAGACAGGCTATCCTTAAACCTTGCAATGGCTTTCCAGTGCCTATAAGAAAAAGTCCAAAGTGAAAGGGATTTAAAATTCCACTTTCCTCTTTGGTTTCTCTCTACCCACCTTGAATCACTTTGTTACTTGAAAGTTCTACGCTCTCTTTCTCACCTCAAAGGCTTTCCCTCTGCCTGGATCAGATTATTTTCTTTCTTCAGAAAGCCTTTCCATTCTCTCCCTGGGTCTGGTTGGGTGCCTTTGTGCTGGGCTGTCATCACTTTATGTAGTAAATACTTGTTTTATTATCTATCTTCCCGCAGACTGTAAGCTTCCTGAGAGCAGGAACCATGTTTACTGCTAAATTCCCAGTGCCTGAAAGTGCTCAGTAAATATTTGTTAAATTAGTTCACATAAAACCGGAAGAATGGACAAAGGAAGCACTTTTCCTTGTTAATTCAGAAGAGGGAGGAAGCATGAATCTGGGTGGGGTAGGGGGTCATATCGAGGGATTTAGGCCCCAGAAACTGCTCAGTGGCAGAAGTGCCTGGCCCAAGCCCTGGCCACCCCCCAACCCCAGGGAGCCCCCCAGCACTTCCCTGACCATGCCTGGTCAAAGCTGCATGCAGCACCCTTCTCACTAGAGTCCTGGGCCAGTGCCTAGAGCCACGACCTCTCCCAGGCTGGCATGGGCCTCCCAGTGCCAGCCCGCGGTGCCTGTGGGCACCCAGGTGGCAGCTCTGTGGGCAGCTCAATGGCTCCTCTGTTCCATTCCTGGCTCCACACCCTGTTCCAGGAAGCCCTGGCCCCCCACCCTGGGCTGGGGCACTGAGGGGAGCCACCCACGGGGCTGGGAGTGGGGAGCAGAAGCAGATGTCTGCTGGGAAGGCTGGCAGCATGGACACCTGCCCTAGGCACAGAGGACCCCGTCAGAGGCCAGGCCTGCTTTCCCAGTGGCTTCTAGGTCATGTGAGGAGGCCAAACTGCCCAGTGGGGAAAGCTGCCCCTGTAGGCTTCTGACACCTTTGCCCTACCGGATGTATTTTGTGTGTGGGCCCTTCACCAGACTCTGATGTGCTCACTGATGTATACCGCATCCATCTCAGGGCCTGGCATAGAGCAGGCGCTCAACGAACATCTACTGGATGCTCAAAAGGCCTCCTTCTCCCCTAATTCCATCTTCTGAAAGGACTCAGACTCTCAGATCCCCATTCATCCTAACTCTGACTGACCAGTGGCCACTGTAGGAGCAGGCTGTCAGGAGAATCGACATTTGAATAGGGATCAAAGCCTCCAGTTCAAGGGCAGAAGGGAGAAGCTGGCAGGAAAGGCACCTAAAACCAGGGCTGATATTTAGGCAAACCCTCTGGTAGAGTCAGAACACTGCTGAAATGCTGAAGTATTTCTAGACTAGTAGGTAAGCAGCTGCTGCTTGGAGGGCCTCCTTGCCCCGACACCTCCGGTCAACCAGATGTCCCCCCTCCCGCCATCCAGCAGGGTGCCTCCAGGACCTGCTCTGGTGCCGGCTCCAGTTGGGCAGTGCCCCTCCCAGAGCAGCTGTCCTGTTCTGACTCTCCGCCTGCCCAAGCCTTTCCTGAGGCGGCTGGCAGGCCCGCATCTGGTTCACCTTCCACTCTGCTGCTGGGCTCTGCTATGAGTTCTTGACCCTACCCACGGGGCTTGCAAGTCCAGGGGGAGCAAAGGGGGGCACATGTCACAGGATTTTGGCTCTGCAAGGTCCCCAAAGTCTACCACTGCCCTTTTCTCCATTTCTTTAGTTTACACTTAATGTCTGAAAACCTCTGGTTTTTTATCTATAGAATGGAGATGATATTAACACCTACCTCATAGGGCTGCGAAGAGGACAATGGACGTAAAAGTCCTTAGCCCAGAGGCTGGCAAGGAGTCAGTGCTCAATAACTGTTAGCTCTGATAATAATCTCTTCTAGTCAGGCATTGGAACCTCAGAGTTGAGGTGCTCACCCAGGGTACACAGCCTGTCAGCAGCAGAGACAAGACTGGGGCCCAGGTCTCCTGACTCTTGGTGCCTTGCCATAGATTTTCCAGAAAAATTGGGAAATGCAGCATCTTCTCTCCTCTACTTTTGATTTAAAATACACTTTAGCATGTTAAAGGCTCTTAGAAGTCCTGTAGCAAAGAGAGCAGTCTAATTTTGTTTAATTCAGCATTTCTCCAAAGTATTTAACCTTCAAATCCCTTTTCTGCTGAAAGTCTGTCAGTTTGGGAAATGGTATGCTATTTGCCTTCCCTGAGATGGAACTTTTTGCACCTTCTGTTCCCACTTACTGGAATGCCCTTCCCAATTTTATCTGCCAGGGAAACTCCTTCACATGAAAGAAATTTGTTATTTTCCTTTTCTAATTACAAAGCAATGCCATGCTTGTAAAACATTCACACATCACAGACATGCAATCCATGCCACCAATCCTTTTAAGACCCTTGTAAGGTGTGTCTATGGCCACCTCGGGATTGGGTGGCAAGTGCTGAACTTCAGCCTTCAGGAAATGGTGAATGCAGCATAGAATGCGCTCCTCATTCCTTCTCTAAGAGTGTCCCTCCCCATGTTCTTTTTTTTCCCCCGCTTTATCTCCCCAAATCCCCCCGGTACATAGTTATATATGTTAGTTGCAGGTCCTTCCAGTTGTGGCACGTGGGACGCTGCCTCAACCTGGCCTGACGAGCAGTGCCCTGTCCGCGCCCAAGATCCGAACCAGCGAAACCTTGGGCCGCAGAAGGGGAGTGCGCAAACTTAACCACTTGGCCACGGGGCCGGCCCCTCCCATGTTCTTTAACAAATGCTTAGTGAACACCTCCTCTCTGCATGCTCCTCTGGGTAGGTGGGAGGGTCCCACGGCCTGGTGTTGACAGCCAGTCTGGAGTGAGGCTGCTTGGCTGTGACCTTGGCTCTCCGACTTACTAGCTGTGAAACCATGAAAATGTGACTCAACCTTCCTATGCGTCAGTCTCCTTATATATAACCCAGAGATAATAACAGAATTTTCCTCATACGGTTGTTGGAAGGATCAATGGATCTAATACAGATTAGCTGCTTCAAAATGGTACCAGGCACAAGGTATGTGCTCAGTAAATTAGATTAGATTAGTAAAGACGAAAAGACCAAATTCCTAGGTCCTCCAGGAGCTCACAGCGATAGACACAAAACAAGCTCCAAAAGAGTGAAGCTCCTTGAGGGGCTGTGAAGCCCCACGGCTGGGCCCCAGGCTCACTGCATGCAGGGACTGGGCGCCCCTCTGCTCTCACGTAATATCACACTGGTTCTGTGGTGAGGGCAGCTGCAATAGGCAGCAGGGACCCCTCCAAGCCCCAGGCCCCAGCCAGCTGCTCCCATCCACGGTCCACAGGGTGGACAACAATGGGTGGAGCGCCAGGGCTGAGGTGTCACTGAGTCACTGGCCAAGCCAACAAGCTGCTGATGTCTTCCAGAGGGAGTGAGTGCTGCGGTAGGAGGAGGCGGCACTGGGTAGAGTGGAAGGGCCTGCCACATAATCCCATGGCAGGGCAGCTGCAGGCCTCAGCTCTCTTCCAACCACCAACGGCCGCACCGATGGCAGCACAGAGCGCAAGCTCAAGGCCACAAATGTTAAGAGGTCTAACCAGTCCACAAAGGTTCCTTGACCTGGACCCCTCTCTTCCCCTCCCTCAACCTCCAGCAGAGGGCACGTGTGAGATAAACAGATTAGACCTCCAGACTCCATGGAGGTTCTAAGAAGGAAAATTACAGCAAATAAGCAAACAAACTCAAAAAAAAAGCAAGGACTAGGTCTTCCAGGTGGTGAGTCCCTTTTGGTGCCTAGGCCAGTGTCACTTACTGATACACGCTCAATGAACACTGGCTCCAGGAGGGCCCCCACCTGCCTTCTTGACCCCTCCTCCTACCTGTCTGTCCACTTGTTTCCAAATTTGGGCTTGGAGGATCCAAGTCCTTGTGGATACCATCTATGAGGTATATCTATTTTTAAAAGTTCTTACTATTTTGGGCCCTGTGAACCCCTATGAGAATCTGAGAGCTGTGAGCCTGTTTCCAGAAAAATGCTCAAGCAGCCAAATATCTGCACACAATTTCTGGAGGTTCATGAAGCCTAGAAGCCCCTCCACGAGCTAGAAACAAGAGCCCTAGTCTCTATTCACACAGGGTGCCTGACTGTTTTATTGTTCACGTCACCGCTCAATCTTTCTCTGTGTCTCTCTCCCTCTCTCACACACACACATACACACGCCTATCTTGGCATGATGGAGGCAAAGGACACACTGTCCAGATGGTCACAGGCAGCTCAAAGCTTCATCCAATCAGGGCCCCCTTCCTATACCCACCCCTCTTTCCTAATTAGACCAGTTTTTTCCCGTTGAAGATCTGAGGAAAGGGAGCAAAGCAAGGGAAGGCCCAGCTCGCCAGCCCCTCTGCCAGTGTGTGGGCTGGCAGCCGGACAGGGCCCAGCATGAGGGAGCTCTTCCTACGGCCAGATGGCAAGGCCCTGTCTGCCCAGTGCAGGGCGCAGCTCCTGCTGCTCCTGCACCTGCCCTCCCAGGCCTGCCCAGATGGCCACGCTTGCACCCCTGCCAACTGCAGCAGTGGGTCTCAGGGTGGGCCAGCAGCCAGAGCCCTGCCTGGGGAGAAGGCTAATGGTCCTGACCCCGCTGGACCTCTCAGGGTCCTGTCTGAGTCCCCGTTCTCTCCTGCCCCCACATTCACTGGGCTCATTTCCCCACAATCTCTCTGGCTCATCACAGAATCATTCCCATCCATTTCATCAAACCTCATGAGCCAGCTCCTCAGGGGATTCTGATCCACCCAACACCAGCCACTGTACTCCAGGAGAGAAATGGGCCAGCCTGAGGCACGTTCTGGTCCTCAGTTCCCATCTCACCTCAGGAAGTGACCCAAAAGCAACAAGCCAAGAGGACCTTCAGGTCTGGGAGGAGGGAGAACAGGGAATAGGGAGAAAGCAGTCACACAGAACAGAAACACTGGCTCAGCAAGGCCTCAGGGCTGGGGCAGGGGCTGGGCAGGCTCACTGTCCAGGGCAATTCTGTGTGAGCTCTGCAGGTATGCGCCAACAGTTGGGTTTAGGGTAAGGGGCTCAGATACCTAGTCTGGGCTCTTCCTAAGGGAAGACTCTGGGATCCCCCAAACTCTGCTCCTAAAGGGGTGGAGCTGCTCTCTCTGAAAGGTGGGAGGCCCCAGGTCAGGGCCCACAGAGACAGCATCCCTGCCCCTGGGCCAGCTCGAATGGCATCCTGGGTCTTTCTCATCACACTCACTAAAGAAACCATAGATTGTATGGTTCCTGGGAGAGCCTGCTGGATTTCATTACTGTCCCTGTAGCTGACAAAGGAGTCAGACACCTCTGGGCCCCCAAGGTCTGAATAGCCCGCAGATCACAGAGCCAACCCAGGGTGATGCACGGATGCCCTTGGTGAGAAGAAGTGTGGGTATTAGCATGGTTGTGTGGGTGCAGCTGCTTCCCTGGGGGTCTCTGTGGGGAAATGTACAGGGGAGCTGTACTTAGGGGAGTCTCTGACCCTCAGGTCACCCCGGCAATGGACAGTCACCATTCAGGAGGTATTTATGCACCCCTCTTTATGTCAAGCCTTGTGTCAGGTACTTGGGAGACACAGACACGAGGAGGACATGGTCCTTGTCCTGGAGGAGCCTACGGCTTGGCAGGCAACCTGTTATGCCATTCCAAGACACTGCAGAGAGGAGGGCCAGGGACAGCTCAGGCTCACATGCCAACAGGTAGTGGTCAGAGAGGAAGAGACTGGTCGATAGTAAGAACAAGGCCTAACACTCCCTCTGCCTCACTGCCACCAGCACCATCACATCACCCAAAAGCAGGGGACAATTAGGAAGGAGAGGAGCCCAAGGACATAAGAAGAAAGCATAGACTCCTTCTGCAGGCTAAAGATCCAGGCCTAGCATGGGCAGCCATGCCCCATGGCAGGAACTAGAGGAAAAATAATTCACATTCCTGAGGCTTCTGCTCTGACCCTGACACATTTCTCTTACCCAGGAAATCGGGCAGAATGGTGCTACAGTGCTTTCTCGGCTGAAAGCCTCAACCTTGAAGCCAACAGATTCGGACAGCAACTTTGCTCTCCAATTACATAAAACTGCGTTCTCTACTGAGGAGAGGGGAGTAAGCCCCAGAGCTGAGCTCCCAGGCGTGAGTGGAGAGGGACAACAAAGCCACGGCGGCCTACACAGTCATAGAATTTAGGGCTAGAGGGACCTGGGGCTGGTTTTCGGCTGTCAGGGAGGGATAAGGCCCAACTGGGGTTGAGCAGGGGGTGGCTTCCCATCAGGGGCCTCTCAGGCACAGTGAACGTTTTCAGACCCAGTGACTTCCCAGCTCTCCTCTTTACCCCAAGCCTGCAGATGCACGAAAGGCTCTAGTCTCCCTCAGAATGGGCCCGGGTGGGGGTGGGGGACAAGGGGAGAGGAGGTGTGGGCTCAGCTGTTTAGCCTCATCTGGGCAACAGGTTCTGAGCACTGACTGTCCCCATACCTGGGAGGACAAGGAAAGGAGTGCAGGAGTGGGCCTGCCTGGACCTCACCGGTCAGCATCCTTGGTGAAGAACTGCATACTGCCTGTCTGGCTTCCTGAGAACAACAGTCCACCAGGCTCCAGTCCCACTGGGTAAGGCAAAGGCCAGCTCTTGCTGTGTCCATAGGGAGAAACTCCAGCTTTCACCTCCTTCCTAGGGCTTCAGCACCTGCAAGGATGCTTGGGGTCCCTGAGGAGGAGGAGTGAAGCTTTGTGCTGGCTCTGCCCTGGGGGGTAGGGGTCAGAGATCAAAAGGCAGTGAGCTGCTGCTCTAAAGAGGGCAGAAAGGCCATAAACTAGGGGAGGGAGGGGACTCAAATCCCGTTAGAAAAAGGCTCGCTGATTAGGCTGGGGTTGTGGGGCGGGGGTGGAGGCTGCGATGAGGGGAGCAGAGCAGGGCCCGGGAGGGGGAGGGTCACCAGTCCTGGGAGATTATAGGAGATAGAGGCAGAGTTTGGGGCGCACGTCCCAGATTAGTCGGTGGAGAATCTGAACAAAGGTGAATGAAAGCTCCGAGCCCTGGGGTCAGGGACTAAGATCGCGGCGCCAGGAACCGTGACACCGAGGCGCCTGGCACCGGCCAGGCCACCTTTGTCCCTCTTGAAAGCCCCAGACCTCCGACCATCTCTCCTCCTGGCCACCCCCGCCCGGCACTGCACTCACCCTGTCGCTGCTAGCCGGAGGTCCAGAGATCCGCTCCTCAGGAGGGGGCGCTGGGGGGCCAGGGGTCTCGACCCGAATAAGGCGGTGGGGGGGCGAGCCGTGGCGTGGGGGCGGCGTGGGACCGGGGACAGCAGGGGTAGCTAGGGCAACGGAGCCGGACGACCCCCCGGAGTAGGGGTCTTCGAAGTCGCGCTCCCTCTGCAACCGGTAGGCAGCTAGGATGTCCGGGGGTGGCGCAGGGGGCGCGGCCGGGGAGGGTGCAGGGTGGCGGTAGTCTGGCTCAGGGGGTGCCGGCTTGCCCCCACCTCCGCCGCCGCCCCCCCCGCGGAAGCCCAGGTGCTCCCGGAGCCACTTGGCCACTCCGCCACTGCTGCCCCCTCCTGGGCCGGCTCCCGCACCCCCGGTACCCCGGCGCGATCCCCCTGGGCCGCCCCCCGCGCTCCCCTGCGCCCGCGGCCCGGGGCCGGAGCCCGCCGGAGGAGCTCCGCTCAGTAACATGGGGCCAGCCGGATTGAGCGAGCCCAGAGCTGCGCCCGGGCGGGGGGCGGGGGCGGGGGCGGGGGGCGGGGCTCCGCCGGGCGGGAGGGGGCGGAGCTCGTCAGTAACAAGGGAGGGGCGGGGTTCCGCTCCCTAACCCGGCCCACCTCCCCCAGCCCCAGCCGAGAAGAGTGGGCGCGGGCTTCCAGGCCGTGTGGACTCGCAAGTGAAGCGGGCAGCCCCAGGGCAGGGGATGCGATTCCTCGACGGGGGATGAATCTTCCACGTGTCGTCACGCGTGCCCCTGTGGGGGTGCACCTGTCCGCATCTGGTCCCCCTCCCCAGCTCCTAGCTCGCGTGCGACGCTGAGAGCGGAGCCCTGAGACTCCCGACTTCCCGGCTCTCGGGCGCTTTCCGCCCCTCCTCTCCCCTATTCCAAGGCCTCCCAAATGGGAGATGATTTCCTGGGATAAAAAGCTAGGGAGGGCGAAAGAAGGGGCTGTTCCGAAAGGCGTGTCTGTAACCACCCCCTCCCGGGTATTACGCTGGGAGCCCCACCTACCTCCTCCCATCCAAACGCTCGCACCGCACATACTCGAACCCACATTGCTTCCCCATCCAGGAAGACACATTTCACATCACAATCAACTCCGTAGAGGCACCCATATCTCCTGTGTCGTTTCCACTCACGCCCTCCTCACATACAAACAGCCCTTGCACAAACACCTCCCACCTACGGACGCACCTGCTCCGAACAGGCCCACCCACCTGACGGCAGCGCGCACGCACGCAGAAATTCCAAGTCACATCCCGGGTTTCATTGTCAATCAGATTAGTGACAGAATAGAAACAGACAAGTCAATAAATCAAGTCTAGAAACAGTTCCAGTGTTGTCTATCACAAACCCCTTACCCTCCCGAGGCTAGAATGCTCAAGCGATAGGCATTTCTGTCTTAGAAATAAAGCCAATTTCTTCCCAGAAATGTAGCCGATGCCAACATTTGCTTTTGGCTCTGCTGGGAAGGTAGCAGCTTCGCCTCACGTCATCCCCGGGGCACTGCCTCACTGTCTCCCTCATCCTTAGGTTCATATCTGCCTTGTGAGGGAGCAAAGAGCCACGGGAGGCCCTAAAGGTAAAGGGGCTCAAAGTTGGGGGAGTAGAGAAGGATATGATGGCAAAACTGAGAATCCCCTGGGATTCTCAGGGCCACAGGTCTCAAAATAGTTGTTGAGTTTCTGCTTTGTGCATATTCTAGCTGGTGTTATAGGACACGGCTTCTCAAACTTTAATGTGAACACGAATCTCCTGGGGATTTTTTTGAGAAGGGCTGTAGGACATACTGAAATATCTGAAATTGTGCCTGGTTTCATGAAGTATAATAGAGAAAACAACATGTGCACATTGTAAAAATATGCAGCTTAAAAAATTGACTAACAATGCAAAGCTAAACATAGAGATAATAAATACCAGAAGAATGGGCCAGTGCATCCATATTGCAGCAAATCTTCAATCAGCAGGTGTCTGACTCAGGAGTCCAACAGTTGTGGGCTTTAGTCAGATCTCAGGGCAAGGTACTCAATGCCACTGACTCTCATTTTCCTTATATCTGCAAAGGGCATGATGATGGTTGTGTGAGGATTAGTGGAAATAGATGATGGATATGAACAGACTGTGAAATCTGTTAAATGCTTGCAATGGTAGGTGTCAAATGAAGTCACATGTGCTTAAGTAGTACAAAGTTAAGCTGCTGACAGATCAGAGGAGTGGAATCAGCGAAGTCTGCACAAAAGAGGGCAGGCTTCATGGAGGAGGCAGACCTGAGCTGGGTAGGATTTGGACAGATGAAGAAAAGAAGTGTAAGGTCATTCCAAGCTAGGAGGTCAGCATGAACTGAGCAAAGGCACTGAGGTGAGACCCAACATGGCATAAAAAAATGGAGGATTCATAGTGGAGAAGAGTAGGAAATAAAGTTAGATGAGGAGAGGAGAAAATAGCATAAAGGTAGAGTTTAAATTATAATTTAAGAGTTATAACACCTTGTACTTACTCTTCTTTTAAATTATCTGTAATTATCTGCACTTTCCTCCACCACCAAAGCGTGGGCTCCCAGAAACAGGCATTGTTGAGCATCTCATGGGCCAGGCAGCTCACTAGGAACCAAGGGTACAGAGGTGAGGCCATCACAGCAAGGCTCCTCTGAGACTTGGGTGGAGTTTGTCAGATCCAAAGCCTTGCATGTTAAGCATGTTAAGCATTACACCGTAGAATTAGGATTCTGAAGGGGAACAGGATGTTCCTATCACTTAGTGCAGAGCCTGACACATGGCAGGAGTTTAACAAATGTTGAAATGAATAAAGATACTTTCTCTTGTTCCTATTTTATATAGCTATAATTGTGGTATACACAATTTTATGTCTTTTTTTACCTAATATTGCATAATTTCCCCATTTTTATGTAAGCTTTATTTTCTTCCAACTTCTTTTTCAAAAAATTCCAAACCTACAGAATACTTCAAAGAAAGTACAGCAGAAATCTGTATACCCTTCACCTAGATTCACTACTTTTAAACATCTTGCCGTATTTGCTCTATCCTTTTTTCTTTTTTTTCTTAACCATTTGATGCAAGTTGCAAATATCATGACACTTCAGCTCTAAATACTTCAGCAGCCATTTCCTAAGAATAAGGAATTCTTCTGTGGGCCGTAACACCATTACCACAATAGTATTGTCTATTAGAGCATATTAAATTTTTTCCATTTTCCCACAAAATTTCTTTTATGTATATATTTTTTGTCCTGATTCAAGATTTAATCAAAGTTCCTGCATTGCATTTAAGTTTCTTCAGTCTTCTTTAATCTTGAACATTTCCCCATTTTATTGTTGCTAGTTTGTTTTTCATGACATTGAACATTTTGAAGTGTCCAGGGCTGTTGTCATGTAGCATGTCCCACATTCTGGATTTTTCCATAGTTTCCTCAGGATTAGATTCAGGTTAAACATTTTTGAAAAGACCACTATGTAGGGGATGTTGTAGACTCCCCAGTGTGTCACATCAGCAGGCCAATAGTGCACATTTGTCCCTTTATTGGTGATGCTGGGCTTGATTACTTGGTTGAGTTGGAGTCCATCAGATATCTCCACTTCACAGTGTAAGGTCAGCGGTGGTGCACTATCCTAAGAACTTTTGGCTATTTGCTTCAAACAGTGTTTTACCCAGTGGTTTTAGCTTCCACGGATGATCTATGCTTGCATTTGTTATTACACTAGGGGTTGCAAAATGGTAACTTTCTAATTCTGTCATTTCTTCTTCATTTATTATCTGGCATTCTTCTGTAAAGAAGACTTCTTCCTCCTTCTTCCTCCTCCTCCCTCTATCTCTCTGTCTCTCTCTCATCCCCATGGTCTTAAAAATTCCTTTTTATTCAATGTGATATAATCCATTCCCACCATTACTCTTTTTCATGCTCAAATTGTCCCAAATTTGACCAATAGGAACCCCTCCAAGAGGCTTCTGTGTCTTTTTGACTTAGTCCCATCAATCTTTAAGCACTTACTTGCTTTCTCACACCAGATATTTCAGACTCAACTTGCACTTCCCCTCCTGCAGACCTGTAATCGGTCATTTCTTTAAGGGAATCTTATTCTTTTTAGTTGGATATAGTATTTAAAAGTTGACTTTATACTTTTTAAATGACTATTTAATATATTGTCAAATGAATATAACTTAGTTCAACACTCTATTTGTTGAGCATTTAGGCTATTTCCATTCTCCTCCCTTCTTAGTAAATCTGTAACAAACATCTCTATGCAGATAACCTTTCCAAGTTCAGTATTATTTCCTTCGGCAAGATTCCCAAAAGCGGAATTATTGGGATAAAGAGTGTTTATTTTTCCTGACTATTGATACACATTGTCCAGTTGCTCTCGTGGAAGGTTTTAAAAGTCAACAAGGACTTCTAAGTGTCAAATCCAATGATTTTGTCTTACACCTCTTTCTCCTTTGCAGCACCTGAGTCTGCTGACCTCCTCTGTGCTTGAAACCTTTTTCTCCTGAAGTTTCTTTAAGATGACACTTTCTGGTTGTCCTCTTTCTCAAGACACACCCTTTCTTCTGCACTTAACCTCCTAAATTTGTGCATGTCCCAAGGCCTAGTCCTTATCCCTTACTTTTCTTACTGGGTACTGAGTGGGGTGTCCTCACTTCTGTTTGCCCGTCTTTGGATGCCTAGTCCTGTCCTGGGCTCTGATCCCTTCTGGGTTTTGCCTTCATTTAAGTCTGGTTCTTGCCTTGGGCCCATCTCTGTCTACAACCTTGAGAGGACTAATATCCAGTATACTCACATATGCACTTTGTTCTGTGAGATTTTAGATGTAGATGGAGCTTCATTTGGGCCAAGTTTTCCGTTTCTCTGACATGAAAATAACATGGTTCTGTGTTGAAAGAATACAACTTAGGATGCAACCACAAAGCAAACTAGGCCAGGTCATTTATTTATGGACTCCATAAGAAACCTCTATTTAGATATTTATGGAGAAGCTGTATACTTGGAACACACACCTACTAAGACTCAATTCTGCCTTCAATGAGCTTGAATTTTCTAACTTTAGTGGTTTGTGACTTAAATTGGATCCTGACAATAAGATAAGGGAAGAGGAGGGTCTCCAAATGGAATACCAAGTCAAGTTCCTCTTCCAAACTCCAAACTCAGGATACTTTGCTGCCCTTCCAACCAGAAATCAAAATAGGGCTGCTTCCCAACAGAGCCCAGGCTCCCATTCAAAGGTTTTTATGGCCACAGTAAGGAAATCTTTTCTCCTATCTTACCAACCCAAACTGTTCTCCATCCTCTCCAGCCAGGAGCCAGGGCCCGGGGAGAAAAAGGACAGGATCAGGGTGGATGGAGATTCCCTCTAGGTATGTGTACTCTTCCCTGTAAAGGCAGATTGCCTACCAGTGCAAATCTATCACCTCAAGTCTATAGGACTTCTGGGGGAGAGGAGGAGGAAGGGAAGGGTCGTTTGTATCATGCAAAAGAAAGGGGGAATATATTTGCATACCTATATACACATGTAAATGTTTGTTTATACAAGGACTGTCATGGGAAGATACGGAAACTGGCAATAATCGGTGGTTCGAGTGAAGAGTGAGAGGGAGACTTTCTACTGGACTTGTGTACGTGTATTCTCTATTTAAAAATGAACAACCCAATTTTTTAAAAAATGCATGAAAAGGAAAGGAATAAACCGCAAGGTCACAGCTGTCTTGCTGGTATAGGAGAATAATTTAGACACCGATTTTAGATTTTGGGGGGAAAGGGGATTACAACTGTTTGATCTGAAGCTGTATTCAGAGCATTCAATGAGAATTACCGCGGGTGGCGATCTTAGGGTGGCTCAATTTTCAAGGTAGAGAGATGCAGCGGCTTATTTCACGAAACTGAGTTATGATTTATACAAAATATTATCGACTTGGGGGAAAAAAAAAAGAGGAAACATAAAAACACAGACCCCTTGCCGTGCCATTGTTCCCACAATGCCGTGACTCGGATTCGAACCGAGGTTGCTGCGGCCACAACGCAGAGTACTAACCACTATACGATCACGGCGAGCTACCGGGGACCTGTGAGGATAGCTTTCTGATTGTCCTCTTCAACAGTCATAGGCCTTCCCAGTCTGCACGTCACCAAAGGGCCCACCTATGGGGCGGGGTTCCAGCCCGAGGCCGACTCTGAGAATGCGCAGGCGCATTGTGCTGTCGCCATTTGATCAGGTTCTGTTCTGTTTTGGTCCATTAACCACAGGAGGTGGTGATGATGGAATGCGGAAGGGTGGGTTCTATGTGAGGGAGGTGGGACTTTACGGGGGACCACTTGGGCAGCTAGGGACGGGACTGGACGGAGCTCAAAGTGTTCGTAAGCTGTGTAATTCCCATTGCTAGGAAGATGCTCCTCTCCTGTGCCCGGGAGACCCTTCCAGCGACCCCGGGCCTTCAGAGGGGCGCTCCTCAGGGATTCTCCTCCCTCCTGATCCCTCCAGGAGCGACCCAACGCCGCATTTGCGCAGGATGTGGACCAGAACCGGGCTGACCACGTAGAAGGGACTCAATGAACACTTCTCACACTGTCATTCCCCTCTGCCTCAACCTCCACTTCCTTGCAGCTTCTTCTACTCCCCCGACAGCCCTGACCCCTCCCTCCGCAGTGCTCCCGCTGCACCCGGTGCCCACCTCTGTTGTGCCCCTGGGCGGCAGCAGGGACTGGGTCCGGTTTTTCTTCTTATCCATCAGTGCTCCCTCCCTCACGGCGCCTAGAACCAGGCGGAGTCCACAGTAGGCCGTGGCTTTTTGCTAAACTGAAAACGTGCCACTGCTTCTAACAAGTGAATCCAGAGTGACCACCTGTCTCTACAGTGTCGTCTGCTCTAATCACCCCGCACCCCCACCCTGCAGAGGCGCCAGAGGGATCTTGCTAAACACTAATTGAATCATTTCACTCTTCCACCGCTCATTCCCATCCCGTAGACTGCAGGAAATTCGTCTGCCTTTTCCAGCTCAGCTCCTGGCCCTCCTTCAGAGTCGTTTCCCATCCCCTAACTACTTGCATTCATTCACTCAACAGGTCCTTGAGACGCTCCTGTTACCTGTCAGGCCAGGGCCTTTGGGCATCGTAGGGGTGGGGGAGAGAGAAGATTTACAAAGAGGAATTATGAGAGTTCCTTTTCAAGACCCTCTTTAAGCCTTTGCACACGAGATTATCCTGGCTGCTTCACAAACTCCCTTTCTGCCTTTAAGAGCTACTTCAAAGGTCACCTCCTCTGCCAAGCCTTCTCTTCCTATTAATGGGAGTCTGTTTCCAGCGCTGCCATGGGAATTCATACATATGTCTATTACAGCACAGCCTTGTGAGCCCTTTGTGCTTTGTCCCCAAGAAGGATACCGCGCACAGCCCCAGAGTAACCGGAAGCCTATATTCTTCGGAAGTCCAATTTATCCAGAGCTGGCATAAATGTCGTTTCCATCTGTCACAAGGGGATTGGGATCCATTCTCGAGAATGTTACAAACTCGAGATAAAAATGGAGGAGAGTGACAAAAGTGAGACCCCCTGCCGTGTTATTGCTTTACGCAATGCCGTGACTCGGATTCGAACCGAGGTTGCTGCGGCCACAACGCAGAGTACTAACCACTATACGATCACGGCGAGCTACTGGGGACCCAGGCACAAACTTTCTCCCTTGAGCTCTTCTCTGTTGAAAGCCCCGCCCCCTTGATGTGTCACTGACTGGTTCCCACCCAGCTCCAACCTCTCCGCTCCCTGAGTGTACGCAGGCGCACTGGACTCCTTGCGTTACTGATTTCTGTCCGTGCTTGCCCATGGGGCAAATCCCTCCGCTTCACCACCGCGCGGGCTGCGCTCGCAGTCACCTCCCCTCCCTCCCCCTACTCCCCCCCCCCCCGCCCACGCCAAAGCCTCGAAGGAGGTTGTGTGGGTTGGTTGGAACTGATTTTCCTTCTGGTGGAGTTTAAGAGAGCCCCATTCCCAACCAGAAGCCTTGCAAATAGCGTGAGCGTCAGGGCACGGTGGGTGTGAGAGGGACCGAGCGCCACCATTGGGGCGACTCGGGGCCTCACATCTGCGCAGGCTAAGTGAGAGCCCAGGTCGTAGTCCTGGCTTCATAGGAGTCCTTTAGTTTGCAAAGCACTTTCCTGTGCTCTCTTAGGGCCCATGCAGACGACCAGCGGAGACTTCGGCTGGGGAGTCCACGTGTAGGTGTCAGCGCGAGGGCCAGAGGAGCCTGGTAGACAATGGGCACCTTCGGAAGGCTAGCCCAGTGGCGGTATAGACGAGAAGACCAGCGCTCGGCAGCGTGCACTCCGTGGCGTCCCGGTAGCTCGCCGTGATCGTATAGTGGTTAGTACTCTGCGTTGTGGCCGCAGCAACCTCGGTTCGAATCCGAGTCACGGCATTGTGGGAACAATGGCACGGCAAGGGCGCCTTTTTAGATTTGGGAAGTCACATTCCTCTCTGTGGTTATGCCCCGTGTTTGTTGCTGCTTGATATTAGGGCCGAAATTATAATGGGGTAAAAAGTGAACTCTGGGAATTTACTTTCTAATTCTTCATCTGCTTGTCAGTCAGCCAACCTTCATCTTCCCCGTTATGTGATTGTTCCATTTTAGGACGTTATTCTGTGTGGTACTCTGTCTCTTTCCTCATTTGGCCCCTGTCAACAGTCAAATCGTATATTGGGTTCTCTAAAAAGCCTGACACTGGCTAAAACTTCAATACTTGGGAGTGTAAAGATTATAGGAACAATGTGCAAACACTTATTACAGGTTAGAAGAGTGCAGATTAGACAATACACTGTGACGAGTGAAAAATGCGACCGTGCTGGCGGCGCTGGTTCTCATAGCCTCCATGAGGGGTGCTAACGAGCAGTTTGCGGCCTCCATCTCCACAACCTCGGAGTGAGAAGGTACTTTTCTCCTTGAGGATTTTTTCCTAATCTACCTTAGGTTTAACACAAATTTTATTTGTTTGTTTTATGAGCACCTAAAAATTCCGAACTCAACAAATTTAGGTCTGCCATTTGGCATTAGGCAAAATGGAAGTAAGTTTTACACTTGGCTGTCTCGTGGCTGGCAGCAGCTGTATCACTGTCAAGGAGGGAATGAGATAGGACTTAGTGAGGAATGAGCTTCTCCCAGGGGACCTGAGGGGGTGGCAAAGCAAGTCAGGAAGCATTCCTGGGAGAGATGGACATTGCAGTGGGGTTGTGCCCCCCTTTACTGACAGTCTATCCACAAAGACTGACTGAACAGCGTGTAGAAGCAAGATAGTGTTGAGGGCTGTAATCTCCCCCAGTCTCCCCAAGCCCTGTTCCCTAAATTTGATGAGTTTAAAGCTACACTACAGGACAGCTCAGACCATGAGAGAATACAACGGCGGATGGTGAGCCTGAGAACTTGCCAAATTTTGGATGATTGATTTAAGAGCTATATATATAGAAAATCAACATTACCAGCAAAAAAAGAACCAGCCAACAGGAACATGACAACTTACCAAATAACTACATTGAAGGTTTTTAAATCTGCGGGCTGGAATAAGGTGTCAGGGTGGGAAGCAAGGAAAGGCTCTGGCTTTTTCCCTGATGGCCCTGCCTCCATCCCCCCACTCCTCTCCTGCAGGTGGTTTCATGCTGGGCAATGAGCTGCTCCCCAGAATCTGGGGAGAAAGTCTGGAGCAGTGACTCTCTTGGAGTATTCGAGTAAAAGCAATCAACCAAGAAAATAAAAACCACAAACATACACCATCTGAGGTAACCCACTCAGCCATTTACATCCAACCAAGGCAGCTGAAGCGTATTCTGAGGGCAGGAATGCCCTAAAGAAAGTCAACAGAAGGTTCCTGGTTGCAGGAAGAGTAACTGAAGGGGAAGGTGCTCTCCTGCACCTCCAACTGCTGACCTTTTCGGCAGGTATACCATTATCCTGGAGATGGGTGCATCCAGCTCGTGAAATTTCATAATATCCTCTTCCAAGGTCACTCACTCAATTCCCCTTACTCTGATTTCAGGCCCACAAAACAGACTTTTGCTAATGATTTGACTGCCCGTGTAGACGTTCCTGCAGGGAAGAGCATTGCTCTGAACAAGCTTCTGAGTAGTTGGCATTTGTTCTTCTTACTCTTGGTATTTCGGTTTAGACTCTTAAGAGTCTGGTTGGTATGATTCATTGCCCTTGAATCTGCTTATCTCTGGGCGCACTGGCAAAACGGAGTTTCTGGGCTGGCAAAGCTGTGAGCTAGAGACTCTGCCCTGGGATGACCTCACCAGGATTGCTGCTCTGTGACACCCTCTCTGAGCAGTCAGCACCCTCCTCCTTTGACCTCTTGTTTTAAACCCACGTTTTGTAGTTTTTGATTCTGGGGATATGATCCTTTTCCCCCACCCCTTCCAGCGTGAGGTCCGAGCTCTTCTCTAGGTCTCAGCACCAGCAAAGAGGCAGGCAGAACTTCAACGGGCAAACCTTGAAGGGAACAACTGTAATTTATAAGCTTCGGAGTGTTTGCTTCAACTAACAACCCCATGGCTACCTGGTCACACCGGAGCATCTGGGAGCTGTTGCTGCTGCAGCTGCCGGTCACCACAAGGGTGCAGTACAGACTGGACCAGCATCCCGGTATCACCTGGAAGCTGGTTCAAATTCAGAATCTTGGTCCACAACACAGAACTACTGGATGAGAATCTTCACTTGAACAAGATCCTCCCCAGATGATTCATCTGCACCTTCAAGTTTGAGAAGTGCTGCTGTCATCTAGAGGAACTACCTGGCTCTAAGGGAGGTCTTCACTGTTCACCTTGTGAGTACTTGGGGTTCCTAAAAGGGACCTGCCCATGTCTACTGGGCCTCATCGATGGGGGTGACTTTGAGGTTGTGAGGAAGGAAAGAGGGAGATCTGGGAGGGAGTCACTGAGGGGCCCATGTTTGGGGGCATCTAAGGAGGAGGCAGCTTCCTGGACTTCCACTAGGAGGCGCTGCACCCCAGGAAGTGGAAGTAGAACGCTGAGGCTGGATAAGACTCAGTCTAGAGGACTCCACTTTGGACTTCACCCCTCCAACATGGATTCTCTGGATGTTCCTGACTCAAGTTCCATTCATTCATTCATTCACTCATTCACTCACCATTCAAAATAGCATCTTTTAGCTCTTAAAGTACAGTACATCATAGGGAGCTGCAAAGCTGTATACAGATACTTCTTGCCCATGTGGTTTACTTTCCAGCTGGAAGAAAATACTAGCCCACAGGCAACAATAAGAAAACAACAGAAGACATGCTGTAGATGGAAGAGGCATTTCTCACTGCGGTGGAAGGAAACTCTCCAAGGAAGAGCTGACATAAGCTTCCAGCAGAATTGTAAAATAACTGAAATTTGTTTTCAGCACTTCCAGCCCCCTCATTCTGACACCCCTCCACCTCTTTGTGTTGTCGTTATCTCATTGATTCTCATTCATTTCAATTAAAAATATTTATTGATGGCCTACTATGTGCCAGGCACTGATCTAGGTTCTGGGGCTACAGTCAGGAATAAGACGTTATATACGATAAGATGTGTTGTTCTCATAGACCTATATTCTAGTGCAGGAATCAGAAAGTTAAACAAAAATAAAGAAGAGAATTTGAGCCAGTGGAAAATAATGTGACACAGTGTCCTCCTGTTCCCTGCCTATTGCCCACCCTTCTACCCACTCTGCTCCTTTGTTTGTACAAAGTACGATGACTGATAATAGTAAGTGTTGCCTTTTAATAGGGATCAAAGTTTTACACCAAAGAGATAAACTAACCTAGAGTGGCCCCTATGTGGCATAAAGAGCCTTCAGATCTGAGGCAGTCTTGTGTGGGCAGGGTGAGGAGGATTCTGTGGTGACCTACATGAACCCACAGTACAATCCAATACACCCAGGTGGATGCTGAGGGCCAGGGAGCAGTGCCAGATGACCCCACAGGGAGGTCAAGAATTTGCCAAGGAAGCCAGGAAAACGAAGTATCCACCCAAAAAAATAAGAAAAAATTTCGAAAGAATGAAAAGCACTGAAGTGATCATTTCAGGAAAACAATAACAACAACAACAACAAAAACCAAAAAAACAAGCCCAGAACTTTGTTGGGAAATAGTAAACTATAAAATAAGTACTTAAAAAATTTTCGATTACACGTGAGACATCATAATCTTTTCAGTGCTTAAGACCTTTGTAGGTTTAATCCAGCACTGCCGATACACTGAATCGGGCCCCTGGATCAAAGATGCAACCCCTAGGGAAAGAAACGGGCGGACCCTGAATTGATTAAAATTGCATTTCTGTCACCCAGTAGAACATATTCAAATAGAAAATAAATGCAGTAAAAAAGAAAGAAAGTTGTGTTTCCTGCATTCTTGAGTTTGTCAACTGACATGTGCACCTAATACACATGCCAAGTGACTAGCACAGAGGTGCTCAATATGCATTAGTTGGTCTCTTGGTTCCAAGTACTTCTCTCCACACCCACAAGAAGAAAACATGGGGAAATCCTGAAGGACTATTTCTGTCATGAGGCCTAAAACTCCTTCTTGAGTCAGGAAGAATGCAGGAGCTGCCTCTCGGAAGCAAAGGTCTAAATCCATGGTTTCCAAACATTATTTTAGAACTGATAACCAGGAATGAATTTTTCATCATGGAATGAGAAAAGAAGGTCAGTGCAGTAAGCTTTTAAAAATCCTAAATGTATTTAATTCAAAAGACTACCCTCTCGGCTGAGATTATGTCCTTCCTACTTTTGAGGTGTTAAAGTGACTTTTCTTTTAAAAAATGATGGAGAGAGTAGGTGATAATTTTTAAAAATGTTTTTTCTTGGAAAAATTTAAAATTAGCAATCCTATGTTGATCTCCAAAATTATTTTTGGAATTTTACTGACCAGTGAAATCTAAAAGTATAAAGCTCACTATACAGCCCAGAGAGCACAGCATCAGACTGAGAAGAAATGGTCCTCAGTGAGTATGGGGTTTGCAGAGGGATGCTCCAAGGGAGAATTGTCCCTGTTCTGTCAGGATATAGTCCAGGGTGATGCTCATCCACCTACCAAACAAACAGTAGTCCCTCGTATGACCTGTGCTAGGCCTTGGAGATATAAATTCGAATAAGACCAATACTTACTCTGAGATTCTCTCAGCCCAGGGTTAATCAGATGAGTGAAGAAATAATTACAACCAGGCTAGAAATATATACAAAGTATATTGGTGCTTAGATCATTCATTCCACCAGGATATGACATTTGAGCTGGGTTCCAAGGCATGCATAGTGATTTTCCTGGTAGAGAAGGGGAAAGGGTATTCTAAGCAGAGAAAGGCAGAAACAAAGGCAAGGAAGCATGGACATACAGACAGCATAAGAAAAGACAAGTCAGAGCCAGCCCTTGTGGCCTAGTGGTTAAAGTTTGGTACTCACTGCTTCAGCAGCCCAGGTTTGGTTTCTGGTCCCATGGAACCATACCACTCATCTGTCAGTAGCCATGCTGTGGCAGAGGCTCACACAGAAGAACTAGAAGGACATACAACTAGAACATACAATTATGCACTGGAGCTTTGGGGAGGAGAAAAAAAAAAAGAGGAAGAATGGCAACAGATGTTAGCTCAGGGTGAATCTTCCCTAGACTCCTCCCCCCCCCAAAAAAAAGTGAAAAATGGATTTTAAAAAAAAGATGTCATAGCTGTGTCATAAGATATGGATGGAGAGTGAAGGTGGAGCCAAATTGTGATGAATCTCTTGCCCCTTATTGAGTCAAACCTTTTGCCCCAGACTGGTGGTTCTTGACATTTTGTGGTAACTTATTGCTTTGGGAATCCATTGAAAGCTATAGGCTTGTTCTCCAAAATAATGCACTTATGACAAAATGTGGGGAATTCACAGATTTCCTGGAGGTCATCCATAGGCTTTGTTATAGGCATTAGGGGACCATTTAAGTCTCCGTTTTTAAGCAGAGGAGGGACATAATCACATCTATGTTTAAGAAAGGTGAGATGTAAATGGGTAACTATTGACAAAAGTCTTAATTCAAAGGAGAAACAGAAGAGAATTTCAGCCTGCTGGTCTGGTTGTTGAGGTTGGGGCTTTGGGACTAATCTGGGGGTGGAGGAAGGACTCTTCCTTCAAATCACACCCACAGGTGTTTCTTCTTTAGCTCAGAGGTAGAGGAGATAGACATATTGGAGGAAAGGAATGGATGTGAGGCTTGAGAAGGTCTAATATCAAGCGGGAAATATTTTCTAGAGTCACAGTAGTCAAAATAGTATGAAAATAGGTGTATCCATGTTACCCTAATATCACTGTTAGTATTGAGAATCTGACACGATGACAGAATGTGCAAGTTTCAAATGTAATTTTAAGTTAAAAGAGAGAGAAAGACATGCAAAAATTGCAACAGACTTGACTTTTTTACTTTTCCCAACTTTCTCCTACATTTCAGAGTCAAAATACTTCCGAGTCATGACTACTCTTTGGTTCGCTGGCCCCATCCTGACTCTAAATGACTTCCTTTTTTACCATATCACGAAAGCTATAAAGAACTCCTTTCCCCCTAAACTCTCTTTAGATCAAATGCTCTGAGAGAACTCATGGTGGTTTTAAAATATGTTCACAAATTCTTTGATACGCCTCCCTTCTAGAAGTAGAGCTTAATTTCCTTCCCTGGAGTGAGGGCTGAACTGAGTGAGTTCTTCAAATGAATAGAATAAAGTAGAAATAATGGTGTGTCACTTCTGAGATGAGTAATAAAGTGCACTGTGGCTTCCTCTTTGCTGTCTCTTGGTTCACTAATCCGTAGGAAGCCAGCTGCCATCTCATGAGGACAGTCAGGCAACATCCTGGAGAGACACATGAAGTGAAGAACAGGTCTCCTGCCAACCAGTCATCAAGGAAATGAGATCCTTGACCAATAGGTAGGTGAGTGAGCCATCTCGGAAGCAGATTCTCCAGCCTCAGTCAAATCTTCAGATGACTGCAGCCTGGCTGACGTCTTGACTGCAATTTCATGAGAAACTCTGAACCAAAACCACTCAGCTAAGTTGCTTCAAATTCCTGAATTCAGAAACTGTGAGACAGCCAATGTTTGTCATTTTAAGCTGCTAAGTTTTCAAGTAATTTGTTACACTGTAATAGATCATTAATAACAGATTTTGTTGCCTGAAAGTGGGACACTGCCAAAACAAAAACCTAAAATGTGAAAGTGGCTTTGGAACTGGGCAGACGCTGGAAGAACTCTGAGGGGAGTGTTAGTGAAAGTCTGAGCGGCCTTAGAGAAGCTGCCTGTCTTCTGTTCTCCAAATTCCATACAAGTGCCTCTCATATGTGGAATCTAACATGGAAAATGGTTGTCAAGCGATTCTAAGAAATGTTTTCCAGACTTTCTTAACCCTTGGAGGAACACAGAAGAGGGATGCTGAGTTGCCAGTAGACAGTCTGGAGCAGCTCATTACTTCAGGTACTCAGCATCAATATACACCTTTTTACCCACATTTAATTTTCAAACAATAATAGCAACAACATAATGCTTTCACCTAATGTGCAGTGACTATCTCTCACACAAACGAAGATGCCCTTACCGTTTCCCCTCAAAAGGGGAGACCCAAAGTCTTATCAGTCATTTATCTCTTTATGATGGTTATTCTTTTTCTTTTTCAGTTACAATCCCCCTGATACCCTGTAACCTAAAAACTAAATCATGAGGTTAACTACCATCAACTCACTCTATATGAAAGAGTACAGGAAGGGGAAGGACAAGAAAGAAATTAACAAATGTAAATATATATGTAATAAACCAAGGAAAAATACGCCTAGCTACTAAAATCTCTTTCCTTAATTGGTGATGAGGTGGTAGTTGGTGTTTATAATTTCCTTCTTTCCCTACCCAATTCACATTCCCTGTGCCCTCAGCCAGCACTCAGGTACTCATGGTTCTTTAACTGACGATATGACTCAAACCTTCACTCTTAAGTGTGTGAACCATTAGTGGTCCTGACTGAACTGTATTGCTGTGGTCTTCCCGTAACTTTTACCATGAGACATCAAAGTACTAAGGGGCACCATATTCAGAATAAGAGTTAAGTTCATTGAGGAATTGCTGTCCCCTCCATAATGGGACAATGTAATCAACCTGCTACCAGGTGACTGGCTGGTGCCACTGAAGAATGATCCATATTACAGACTCAGCATTGGTCTCTGCTATTGACAGATTTAGCAATCACCAGTGGGAGATGCCAGATTAGCCTTGGTGAGAAGTCTCTGTTGTAGAGCCTATGCATAACTTCCATCCCTGCCACCATGGCCACTTTATTCATGAATCCAGTGAGCAAGCACTGGGGTAGCAGAGGAAATAGACTAAAAGATATCCAGTCTCTTGCCAGGGTTCCCATTGGCTAAACCCAACAAGAAACCAGAGGGCAAGGCAGCCTAGTAATGCAGCCCACACAGATCAAAGCAAGATGGAGAAAGATGGAGAGGGGATCTGG